GAGCTGCATCATCCTCTCCTGTGTACAACCCTTTGCTTGTTACTTTTCTGCTTTCTGCACTTTGGCTCCTGTTTATCTTCTGTGTCCAAATCACATGCGTAATTAGTTTGCACCGCGTGTTCTAATATGAAGCCATGCACTTTGGGGCTTGAAGGTCTTAAGCGGCTGCTGAAAGTGTATTCTCCAGCCACCTTGTTAGCGAGTCGACATTGCCGGTGGGATTCTGACCTGTTCTGTTGGTCTTTTGGAATCCTTCAGCAGCCACTCAAGTGGTGGCTCACCACATTGTTCTTCACCCTGTTTTCCAAAAAGGATTTTGGTGACTCTCAAACCTAAATTGTGTCCATATTTCAACATACCAGTAGCAGCTTATGAAAATGAAAACAAGTATCTGGAGTGGGTTGGGGGACAGCCCCAACACCCCGAGTTCAAGATGGTGTGATGCCATATAACACCTCTGCTTTTCCAACTAGTCCAAGGATAGGTAACCTCCAGATGTTTGGGACTTTCGCTGCCTCCAGCCTCATTCAGTATGACTGATAGTCAGGGAACATGGGAGTGATGTTCTGAAATCTGGAGAGTAGCTATTTGGCCATTCAGGACCAGTTTCTCTCATTCTGAGTGTTTAGGGTCTCCTTTCGGCTACACAGCAGTCTCTGTCACCAGTACCCATCTGAGAACTTTGTTTATTTCATGGTCCAGCAACAAACAGTGTGATCCAGAGCATTTGTGCATCTCGTCCAAACGCCCCCAAAGAGTCTGCATGGTCAACAGCAGACATGTGCTCTAGGACATGCCAGTGCACCAAGGTCCAGGGCAGGCCAGCAAAGATCAGAGGGCCAGAGGTAGGCAACAAAGGCAAAAATACACAAGACAAGCTTATCTTGCATATGGGGTTCTTAGGAAGAACGCAGGATGGGAGACCATATGGTGATTCTGGCAGTTGTTTGGACTAGGGAGCCAGGCTTACAGTTGTTTATGTATCTATATGGCCAGGCAGGCCCCTATACCAGTTCCTCAAATCACCTGTTCTCTCCAGGCAAGAGGCACCTAGTACCTTTCCGATGGTCTTGGCTATAAGCTCCACAACCTTTACCGTTGACCAGTTGTTGTGGCTGATAGATTTGTAGTCCAAACTCTGCAGACCACCATGCTGCCTGCCCCTACTCCAGCCTGACCAGCCAAAGCCTGTCTCCTACCCCAGTCAGGGTGGTGCAGTAAGCAAAAATGCTCAGCGTGGCAATTTTCTCTGCCTATCAGCTGCCCTGCTGGTGCAGCGAGTAGGAGGCTCAGGGACTCTGTCATATTCCCAGCCTGCTGTCACATTAGTTCTGTGGCCAAGATCTGTAGGGTGAGGACAGAGCCCTCTTCCCACAGTAGGGAAATTGGTCATAAGAGGGGCAATCCGGAGTCCCTGCTTTGCACATAACACTTGTGACCATTTCTATCTCCCTCCTTCCAAGGAGGCCAGACAAGCCTTTGAAGGAAAAGGCTTCATTATGTTAAAGTCGATCAGGTAGGCTGGGCTTGTAGTACAAAGGAAGGGTTTCACAGATGTGAGTAATGAAAGAAACAAGCAAAGTTAGAATAGTGGCTATTAAGGGAAATTTGGCTTAATGATAAGAAGACTGAATTCCAGACTGAATGTCCTTCCTCCCTTCCATCCTGAAAGAGCAAGCCACACTTTCCAGGTGGGTCCTCCCATTTCAGGGCCAATCAGTTGGAATACCTGCCGCTTCTCACGTGGGCTGACTTCTTAAATGAACCTGCCATGTCCTTGAATTACTGATGTTAGGGATGCCCCTTCCATTTTAGTTTGCTCACTGAGCTTTCCCACAGGATGCCTGATTCTCAGCAAGTACCTGGCTTATGTCTAAGTCCATCTGCCTTGACATTTCAGCTGCAAATTCTGGCCCATTCTCTTCAGGTGAACCAGAATCTGTATCTACAGCCTTTGAAGGCCCTTTTATATGGGCCCAATCTTAAAATGTTAAACCATGTACCGAAGGTGATTTGGCCACTCTGCAGTGGGACTGATGAGGCAGCATCCAGCAGTGCTTTGTCTTGTTCACTACAATCCAGATTTTTTTTAAAAAAAATGCTGGACAATGACCTGCAAAGCACCTATTATGACTCCCCGCTGCTACAACTCTGGGGACAACAGGGAAATAGCATGCCTGGGAATTAGCATGGTGGAGACGATTTTTAAAAGCTGCCCCCATTGGCATGGCTTCCCCCAGTCCAAATCAAACCACCACCACCACCCCTGCTGCCATGGCTGTTTTAAAGTTTTTTAACAAAAGAAATAGATGTCAAGATGTCAAAATAGATGCCTTTTTTCCCTACATGCCCTCCCACCCCCTAAGATCGGCAGCAGAGGCCCTCCTCCGGGAACCCTCTTTGAAAGAGGTAAGGAGACAGAGTACTTGGAAAAGGGCCTTCTCTGTGGTGGCGCCTCGACTATGAAATGCGCTCCCTAAAGAGGTCTGCCTGGCGCCGTCATTATATGTTTTTCAGCACCAGGTCAAGACCTTTTTATTTGGCCAATATTTTAACACATAGTAACCTTAATTGTAAATGACTTATTTAATTTATTTTAAATGATGCTCAGTGTGGAATAGTTAATTTATCTTATTTTACTGAAATTTGAAATGATGTTGTAAGCTGTCCAGAGACAACAGTAATGGATGGCATACAAATTTTTAAATAAATAAATAAAAGAGGGAGATGGATCCAGCCACAGATCACTTGTACTGTGTACATTTTGACCTTTACGGTACACTGCACTAGGTTTTCTGACAGTAAGTTAAGCAGAAGTTGCTGAGACTCTTAAGGGGTTCTGATTTTTTAGCAGAAAATCCTAGAAATGTCATCTGTACAAAGATTAACACATTTCTTGTGCTGGGTATTCAAAATTTCATTCTTGGATCTATGGGATGGAGGAAATTTAATTTTTCACTTTTGAGTTTTTGAGTTATCAAATATGCAACTTTATATCATACCAGTGGCTTCAAACAGGAAAGAATTTACCATGGCAATGAACCAGTTCAGACATTAAAGACAGTCACAACCCACAGCAGGGATTCAGGCTTATGCATTTCCCTTGTGTTCTCCCCCTCTGGTGCAGCCACAAAAAGTGAAAGCTTCCATTTCAGATGAGTCATCTGAGCTTGGATAAACGGTGGGTATTCTTAAGTGAGGTTAGTTAAAACAAGCCAACTTCAAACCTTAGTTTATGAAAGAGACCTGATTCTACTAAGCAGGGATTGCTTGCTAATCTTTATTTAAATATTTATTTACTGCTCCTTATCAAATCACAGGGTGGCATACACAATTAATTGCTGTTTTAATAAATAAAATAAAATGCAACAATAAAAACAAATACTAAGCCAGATATGAAAATCAGCTAACGATGCCTGGCTAGACAGATGTGGTGCTGAAGACAGGGGTGCTGCAAAGGTGGGGCCCCATAACAGAACAGTCCCTCCATCTGCTTGCCATTAGGTGTATCTTAGTAAACAAGCCCTGGCAAAAGGCATTCCCCAAGTTGTTTGGGGCCTTGTATGCCAGTGATATCACCTTGACCATGGCTCACCAACAGTCAGATGACCAGTGCTGCCCTCTGAGCAGCAGCTGACTGCAGAGACTGCAAGATGCCTGCTAAGCAACCTCACGGTCACCTTCTGTACTAGCTGCGGTTTTGGGACCAGTCTCAAAGGAAGCCCCATGCAGAGGACATTGCAGCAATCCAGTCTTGAGGTTATCAGTTAGTTGCTTCCCACCTGTGATTAAGATTAAGATTAAGATTAATCACAGGTTAGGGCCCGGATGATCCGCGAAACTGCAGTCAACCTTCCCCTTCCCCTTACAATCAAGCTGGAGATGTTGGGAGCATAGATTTTTATTTTGAATTAATGTTTTCAAGGTTGAACCATGATTGGATCCTTAACGGTAGGATTCAGGTGATGTTTTCTGCATTTCCTGCTTAAATGTTCATACTAATGAATTGGGGCAATCGTATTTTGGTTGAGTGAAAACATCACAGTTCTTGGATTGCAAAATCAGTTCCTCAAAGAACAAATGCAGAGTTCTGAATGGCACCCGTGTGCTCTCTGACTTGAAGCGATAAAATGCACACCTTAAAGTCACAGCTAAAGAAGAAGAGATAAAATCAAGGGTAATCCATGTAAGTTCAGTAGATGGAATTAATGCCATTTAGTTCCATGGATTTCACTGTGAGTAAACTAGTGTAAATGCAAGCTAGCAAGCTCTCTGACTCAGGGTGCAATCCTATGCATGCTTAGGCAGGAAAAAAATGCATGCCCTCAAGAAAAAAAATGCATGCTTCCCCTCCCCTCCCCCAGCAGTGCTGTCTGGCGCATGCAGAGAGTCTAGGCTGTTTTTCCAGTCTGTAAATAGACACGTATCTAATACATAAAATAGTGACTACTTTCTACACAAATACCACCTTAGAGAGCAGGAATGGAGAACATGTGGCAAGGCTACTTAGAGCTGTGTGAGTTAGTTCAATACCACATCCTCATAGATGCTCAAAGTCATGACCATTGCAAGCAAGTTCAGGCTTTCAAGAAGTCTTTGTGAATGTAAATTTGAAAAGAGAATGTAAAAATAGCTATGGTTTTGCGGGAGTGAGTTCTACAGCCAAGGCAGCCGTCTTAGCCTAGACCCGGGAATTAAAACTTCAGCCATCAGCACTGGGGCATGTATCTGCAAGGAAGGCACATGCATTGCCTCCAAGGAGCATCGGGAAGCGCAAACGGGAGACATACAAATGGCTCAGACACTTCTTCTCCAGCATTTGAGGTGTCCCTGAATAAACCATGTAGTATCATTGACTCCTAGGGAGACAAAAAAAGAAAACATTTTCTTTTTAGGGATTTTAGCATTTCTGTGGGAATTGTAGGACCTTTATATATCTGAATATGTGCTTTGAACTGTGACACAATGAAGAATGTTTTAATATCCCTTATTTTCTCTAGATTACTCCAGCCATTCAACCTCTCCAAAAAAATTCAAAAACGTCCCTGAACTTGATTTTAGAGGCAGGGTCCCTTCTGTGTCTTCTGAGTGGGCCTTGGTAAGGATTATCTCAGAGGAGGAGATGGCTGAACACAACCTTCTGGCTGTTCGTGTTATGGTCACCAGTGATGGAAGCAGGTATTTGGGGGCACTTTTATTTGATAATTGAGGTCAGCCTGTTTCCAGGAAGGAAGGCAAAATACTTTTACGGGAAATTCCAGCCTTGTATTTTCCATTTGATGCAAAAAATGCAAGGGGTGGGCAAACAAAAGATGATGAACCAGGATGGTTATTTTTTACAGCTGCCATGGACCTCTCCTAAGTATGATTCACTTGCAGAAAACCTTTGCATCCCACACAGTGGTCTGAGTCACATGCAAGAGGGGATGTAATTGAATCAAGATTGGCTCTGAAAAACATCACTGTATGGGCTTCTTAGCATTTTCAGGAGTAAGAAGGCACATACTGCAGGTTGTAACCTCCAGCAAAATAAAAATGTAGGTGCCCTTGCACTTAGTTTAGCTTCTGTCCTCCTAAATGCCCATTTATGACAACTCTATGGTGTGGCTTATCGTCTGTCTGTTCCAATGTTGCCCATGCAAAGGGGAAAGATATGAAAGATCTGGGGAAGGGCATTAGTTAAGTGGCAAAAGATATTGGACTAGAGTGTCTCTCCTGGCAGATGGTCCCTGAGAACAAGGGAAATTTGCACTGCATCTGCAGGATTGTGTTGAAGTCCCAATGAAATCCCACAAGCCCTTCTCTTTTACATCTCACTCTCTCTTTTACATTTAACACTGATATAGGGAGGAAATGCTGCTATAGTCATTATAGTGCATTTGTTTCTAAACCAAAATTGTTTCTTCTAAAATGAAATGCATGTGCTCTTATTAGTTTCTAATTCTTTTCTGAGAGAAACACATGGAAATGAAGATGTAAGAGACAGAAACAAATGAAAACCCTTTCCTTTTTTTGCCTGCATTTCTCTTAGGCATAGAATTTTGACACTGATATAAAATCTATCCAATTGTCAGATGCACATTCCTGATAGCCGTTGCCAAGGCCGAAGGCCAGCCAGCCAATTTATACTTTTCCTGTTAGCTGCCTCTGATGGGAAGGGGCCAAGAAAGTGCTGATATGAAATATCTGTGTGGCCTTGCTGTATCTCCAATGTATTGTATAAGCGCAGAGAAATAGGAAAAGCCTATGATTTTCATTATTAAGTACACAAATTATCTATCTATCTATCTATCTATCTATCTATCTATCTATCTATCTATCTAGCTATCTACCTACCTACCTACCTACCATTTATCTTTCAATGATGAATCAGATAATAAGGGGGAGATGTACAAAACTGATTTAGCAAATGCCTTTTCAATGGCAGTTATTAAGTTGCTGGGAATGCTTAAATTGCAGCACCCACCTTATTACATATAAACTAAAATAAGTATAGCAGTGAAATATTGATTAGCTGTTTCATACCACTTGCTAGTTCTACTTAATTCCAACACAAGGCCTTCTCTTCCTGTTTCTTAGCTCAGAACTAGAACCTGATTTTGATGGCAATTCATCCATTTCGGAATTGGATGAAAGGCCATTGCCACTGCCTGCGCCAAAGAGTTGCACTTCATCTTCAAAAAGGAATTTGCTGTTAAATACCAACTTAGTGAAAGGGGAGGAATCCCGTGAAAAGTCCAAAGCTGTGAATGGTAAGTTAACATGACCAGAAAATATGCGTTCATACTAAAAGACTCCAAAGTAATTTAACCAATCCACACTGGCAAGATGTGTACATCATGGAAAGTGTCTTTTAAAACCTATCCTAATGTGGCTTAGTTTAGCAAAGGAACCAATGAACTGGGGTTCTCCAAACTCCCTAAATTCTCCCCTGTGTTCTGGTGCTTGGACATAGGTTGTCTGTGACACGGCAGTTAATCCAGTAGCAGTCACAGAGCAGCTGTTCCAGAAGTGGGCATTATTCTGCTTAAAATAGCAATTCAGTGTACCCTTGAACAACCAGAAATGGCTCCTAAATGCACATGGCTGAACCTGCATTTTTATACTGCAAGTGACATACAACAAAGTGACATTGAGATGTTCTTTCTCTTTGCTTTGTTTCAACATTTCTGGTCTTTCCCACTTGGCCTGTCCTTGCTTTGCCACCCTGGGCTCTTAGATACATTTGATGTGAAATTGTTCCAAGAAGCACCAGGCAGAGTCCCTTGCTCTGAACGGATATTGCAAAGCTTAATTTGCAGAGCAATAACTTGGTTTTTAAAAGGCAATATTTTAATCCAAATACCCCAGGCAAAGAACCTTGTATGAATTAAGTTGTTGTTTTAATAAAGAATATCTAATGAAATGTAACAATGAACTGAAGAGGTGCCCAGCTGGAGACACCCACATGAAATAACAGCAGTAGATTTTCCCTCTCCCGTGTGTTTCGTCCAAAGGATGTTAACTTTGTTTCCAAGATCCAGCTTTCTTCCAAAGGTCATTCCCATCAGATTTCCTCTTTCCGATTTCCCAAGTTTATTAGGGTATGTTTGCCACATTGAACATCCTGCAGTTTCCTCTTTTTTGGCTTTGCCCTTCTTAGTTGACTTATACCCAGCATTTTCGCATTCTCAGTGTTTTTGGGGCCGTGCCATGGGACCAGCTTTTTTCCTGAAGCAACTTGCAAGAGCGGTATTTATTGTGTTTGTTGTATTCCCATGGGAATGGTCATGGTGGTAAATAACTTCTACCAAGAAAGACAAATGTTTCATTTTCTCCGCTTTTTTTTTTTAATGTACAAGCCCACATGCAAGAGAAACAAGAGCTATAGAAAAGACACAAATAAGCTCTTGTTGACGTAGGAGTCTGCAAAAGTTAATAATGGAACATTGAATAGCTGGTGAAAGCAGGGAGCTGAGAAATTTTGCTTTCTGGGGAAACACTGGTTGGTGAATATTGCCCTCTAGTGGCTAACAAACATTTACATATTCATCTGCATACCCACTCTGAAAGCATGGATGTTACCAAACAGCAAAAGAGAAACTCTGGTATATGCCTGGGTTCACACAACATAATAAACCATGGGCCCTCATAAGGTAGGGATGGCTTGCCAGTGTTTGAAGCTGAACCCTGACAGAGTGGAGAATAAACTGTGTTGCCGAGTTCAGACAACATAATAACCCCTGGTTTATGAGTCACCGAGGATTACGGTGATGTGTGAACCCAGTCTACTGCTTGGGGTAACGTCATTTACACTGCTATTTGTGTTTCTCTGTGAATGCTAGGCAATACAGCATTAAGTTAACATTACAGATGCAGGGCATGAAAACAAAACCAAACCATGCTGGATTACAAAACCCATTAAGTCATGGCAGTTTATAAGCAAGGGGTGGCTTGTCATGTTGTCTGAACACAGCAGCATGGCTTGTTATGTGAAAATGCTCTGAATTACAGCTCTTCCAGGGCCACCAAAGTGCTTCCAGACAAGTGATTGCATCCAGGTTTAACTAACTCAAGACTCATTCATTCAAAGGGTCTATTCTTAATACAATGCAGAGCTCTCATTGTGCAATCAAGTGGCCTCATTCATCTCATCTTACAGGAGGGCAGATAAACTTACCCTCCTGTGTGTTCCCACTGCTTCTTCCATCTGCTTTTCTTCCCACAAAATGTTGAGGAAAAGATGGAGTAGTTGCACAATGCCTTTTAACTGGTAGTGCCAGACGCTCGAAATCTGTAAGCACCCAATATTCTGCAAGCCCTGGGTTTTTTAGGGGTGGGTTTGGCATTGCCAGAGTGCCACAGGTTCAAAAGCATGGATGCTATATTAGGCTGGGCAATGGGTTATAGAATTTCACATCTAGGTCAGGGAAAGCAATGCAAAGCGGTACTCAGACAGACAGACAAAATGCTCATTTGCTAAGTGAAAGGCTTGGAAGATCCTACTGTTTTAATGTAAGTCTTCTGAAACTTACATTTGTCATTGTCCTTTCCATCTTGTCTAGCTCTGCAACGAGCACATACTCTTCGAGACCCTTCTACATCAAAAAAATACCAGAACTGGAAGAAGAAAATTCAATCAAGTAAGATTTCCAATTGGAATTGCTATCTGTGCATTTTGCTGCATTCTTCACCAAATTGCCATTTAGATCAAGTACAATTTAAAATTGCTTGCATCCTATTAAATACAACTTCTCAACTGAAAAGTTAAAAGCAAAATGGAGCCCTGATGTTCTTTTTCTCATTTCAAGGGAAACAAAGCATGCCTTGATAACAGAGAAACAATATAGGAAGGGTGACCTTTCCCTTTCACTACCCCAGGAGTCCCCAGAAGTTTGGAGTCAGTCAGCGTGTTTGGGATTTTGAAATTGTGTCTTGGGCTTTCTCACAAAATGGCTGCTATGGGGCTTGCCTATGCCACCATGGTACACGTGGCTCTTCACAAAATGCTCACTTCATACAGCCAGATAATGAGACTAAAAGAAAAATAATTTGCCCAGGAATCTAAATACAAGGCAGAGGTGTGCTCTAAACTTGGAACGGGTAAGCCACTTTTATGAGCCCAAAATGATGGTGGCACTGGAGAGACAACTCTTCCCATTGCAGCATGCCAGCTTTCTGGTGAAAACATAATTATAAAAACCTTTCAATGTAAAATAAAATTTAAATGGGCAGTGAGTGAGTGTGGTAGGTAGTCTGCGAGACACTGGTGCCCACGAGCATCACATGAGAGACTCCCAGCACTTTGCAAAACAACTTTGCAAAACAGCTTTCCCCTCTTTCCACCTCAACTCTGCAAGAGCTAATTGCTTGCTTCCCCCACCGTTCAGAACAGCATCTGGGTTGTGGCCTAATCCTGCTCTGATGCCACGCATTGGACTGTATGCACGTGGGCCTCCCTGCAGTGTGGGAAGCCCGGTCCTGGGGTGCAGAGGGCCCCTCTAACCACGGTCCGTGTGCCGCGGATTCCAGAGCCTTCGACCAGGCTCTGCTGAGGATGACGTGTTCACTTGGCCGGTGGTGCTTCTTGTGAGCTCCAAAGTTGTGCTCAGACATAACAGCTGTGGGGAAATTGCCAGAACTACCTTCTACAGGGAGAAATCTCCAGTAAATCCATGTTGTTATTATTGCAGCCTCTGCAGAGAATAGTGTGTGATTTTCCCCCCATTCTGTAGTCTTATCCCTCTCTGGTGAAGAGCATAAGCACTCAGTTTTGTCTAGCTGTGTTTTTGTCTGCTGGCTAAAGAGCAAACAATAGGCCAACTATCAATACTTTTTTAAGGCAGAGAAGGGCCTGTGGCCCACATCCTGCTAGCTCTGCTCAACCTGCTCTTCTTAATTAAATGTTGGTTTCAGTGTCTGCCTATTAATTTTGCTTCCATTGGATACAAAATACCCTGTGTGTGACTGGTGAGGGGTCTCCAGAGGGAGCTAGAAGCTTATTGGAAGGAGGCAGTATAATTTTGAGAACAGCCAAAGCCAGTTTCCTGGCTGAAATGAACTGTAAGATGCTCTAGAAGTGTTCTAGCTCTGTTTTAACCACTATATCTTGTTTATTTTTCTTACTTCAGAAAGAGCTTGGTTTACATGTGTATGTAGAATTTCAGTGCGTCTTCCTTACAAATAGAATTTGTTATGCTGTTGCTTGTCACTGAAGCATGGATTCAGTTTGGGTTTCTTCCCTCAAAGCAGCCTGCTTCATGGTGTCTGTAGAGAAGGAAGAGGGGGATGTAAACTCTTCCAGAAGCTCTTTGCAGGGTAATCACATGTTTTCCAAATATGCCTTCCTATCAGATCAGTCAGTCAGTCAGCCGACAGATGAAGAATTCCTATTAGTTTGCAGCAGCCTTACTCAACCTGGTGTGCTCTAGGTGGGTGGGCCATCGTGGGAATTATACGAACCATTGTCCAAAACATCTGGAGGGCACCAGTTTGGGGAAGGCTGGTTCCCACTGAACCAGTTTGAAAGTCTGAGGTGTTCGCAGCACCTGGATGGATTCACTTCCTCCAAAATTCAAGCTTCTCTTCATGCAAAATTCATGTTGTCTTTTCTGTCCGTTTTTCGGGTACAGACACATTGCTCTTCAGTTTCTTGAGCCAGTTGTGAATATTAATTGGCTACTGGCAGGCACCTGTCACTATCACGTCTCTTCAGCTTTTGGGATTAATTTGGGTGTCATAGACTAGTGCAGAAAAGAGGAGAGACGTCAGAGAAGATCATCTCATGTTATTAAAACAGTATTTAATGAGGTCACTTGTGAAGGTCTGCCCATCTCAGAAAAGACAGGGGCAGGTCACAGAAAATGGCAACAACCACCGTGACTGAGGGGATGGACGGCCAACACGCTCAACTCAATAGTGAGAGGGGTGAGCATGACCAAGGTGGATGATGCTGTCGGTATGGGAAAAAAATGAAGGAAAAACGGATTGTGTGCTATCAAGAGCTCTAGAACTGTGGGTCATCTCCATTTAGTGAAATGGATGGTAGATTCGGGATGGACAAATAAGTTCTTCATACGAGACATAATGAATTTGTGGAATTCGCTGCTGCACAGGGTGGCCATAGAGAAAGCTTAGATGGCTCTGAAATGATTATCGTTTCATGCACTCTTCTCCCTTTGCTCCAACTATTCTAGCTTCACAACGGTCCTGTGAGGTAGGTTAAGCTGAGAGGGAATGACTGACCCAAGATGAGACTTGTGGCTGAATGGGGACTTGAAGCTGGGTGTGCACATTCCTACTCATGACATTTGAAGCACTACACTACACTGCACTGGCATAAGTAACATATTAATACAGGGAAGGGTTTAGAAATTGGCAGTAGCCAATATCACTAAATGGAACCTCAGGATTTGAAGGTGTGTATCTCGGAATACCAGTGTCTAAGAGAAGAGCTGATGCATTCAGGTCCTGGTGCTAGACTGTCAAAAAGCATCTAGTTGGCCACAGAGAGCCAGTCATGGTTAGTGTGTTAGACTGGGGACCTGGGAGATCTGGGTTCTAGTTCCTCCCTTGGCCATGAAGCTCACTGGGTGACTTTGGGCCAGTCACAGATCCCTTAGCCCAACCTACCTCACAGGATTATTGTGAGGATAAAATGGAGCCATGTATAAAAAAGGTGACATATAAATTAAAAGTAATAATGATAGCACTGTTGAATAAAAGCTGTGAATTAGACACATCTTTGGTATCATCTGCAGGACTGTCTTAGAATGGTCTACAAATTTTGGGAAATTATTGACCTCCGAGATAAAATGTGCTAATTCTTACACATTTTGATTAGATGAATTAGAAAACAGGTGATAAAGGTGCTGGTTGGCTAAAGTTTTCAAGATATTTCACAATAACAATTTATACAAAGGCAAGTATATTTGCCTACAAGGGAGGGAGGTGTCTGATGATCATGATGCCTCGAAATTTCTCAACGAAGAATGATAGAACAATGAAAATGGTACCACATGGAAGCGTATAAATTTATCTTCACTTTGAGGCTAAAGATTATTACCTAACTGTAATGTATTGCTCTTTTATCACAAGGTACATTTGTCTTGGTCAGATCTACGCATCATACAGTTACATCTGGTGGCTTGTGAAAGTGTCATTGCCTAACATTTCCAAGGAACAGTTGTGTGATATTTTCCCCCAGAAGCCAAGATGCCTTGAAACTGTGTAAACAATGCAGATAACTTCTGCTACATTTGTGGCGAGGTTACATTTGCATCTCAAAAATGCAATATGACGGCAGCGGTAAAAAAAAGGCACGCCACCTAAATTTTGGATGCAAAATAGGGGATCAGGACAAGAGTTGGGCCCCTCATTATTGTTGCGTCATTGGCTAAACAAGAAGAAAAAGTCCATGCCTTTCGCCGTCCCAATGGTGTGGAGGGAACGCACCAATCATAGTAGCGACTGCTCTTTTTGCATGGTTCCCCCAGCTGCAAAAGGGATCTCAAGAAAGAAGTGGACTGTGGAATATCCAAACATTCCATCCGCACTGCATCCTGTGCCCCACTTCTCACACTCGCATTTAGACTATTTCCCTTTGAACTGTGGGGCAGTGAGTGATGAGCATGGGGAGAGATTCCACCTGGATATCACAGGTAGGGAGAAAAGACTCCAAGGGAAATGGAGTCTGTCCATGCTTGCTGATTACTGCTGGAGTCTCTCCAGGGATGATCCTACTGCAGTTCACAAGGGAAAAGCCAACAGGCGCAGTTTAGATATCAAATAAAGATGGAATATTGTCGTTTAATCTGATGTTAGCGCTTGTCAATTTTTCATGCAAAAAGCATGAAAATGTTACATGAAAAACCAATAAATGAATGGAAAGTTATGTTATTGGTATAAATAAAAAGATAAATTTATAATGATTGGTGTGGCACCATTCTCATTGCTATATCACATTTTGCAGAAAAGTTATGGAACATAATCACACATTCCCCTTGCAGTTTTGAATTATTTTGATGCAATTTTGACCCGAAGCTGTATCTTGGAAACTGGAGCCAATTAATAGTCAGCACTAATAATTTTCCTTTATTAGTGACCCAATTCTGGTAAAATTTAGCTACTTTCATTTCTGAGCCTTTCTCCTTGTAAACCAGTGTTATAATTTCTACTCTTAGAATTTTGTGATCCTAAGATTAAACTAAAAATATAGTTCATATTCTTAGCATAAAGGGAGCTTCTAGATCCCATCTGGGATGGGCGAATCTGCTAGTCAATCAGAGCAGCAAGGAGTTCTGACCCCCAAATATCAGAAAATAGCAAAGTAAATTTGATATTTAAAAAAACAATTTCTGGCTGGCCTTATGCTTACTGCCCATCTCCTCATCTCAGAGTGGACAGTAAATGGAAATATGAATTGGTTCCTCTGACCAGGTCTGAGGCAAATTGCAGCTCTACTGTCCACTCAGAGTTCCGTGGAGAATTTCTGTAATTTCACATTATTGTATTACATGCTGCTTCAGCATTTGTAGGCTGCTCAGAGATCCTTTGGGTCATGGGGCGGCATAGAAGTTGAATGAAACAAACTTTTTAAACTTCCATTTACAGTGTATGGCTCATTGGAGATTACTACCTGTACAGTGTCTGGGTGTAATTAGTGAATCCCATGGCTCCTACTTAAAAATGAAATAGATACCACAAATCCAAAGTTCAGTTATCGTGTTCTAGATAAGCCAGCAATGGTGAAGCTGTCCAGTCAAGTAAAAGTATGCCATTAAGAAATGCTACCACATTCAGTCCTCATTGACTTTCTCAGCTTCCCAGAGGATCCTTGGTTTCCAGGGAAGGTTCCAGGAAAAGATCTCAGTCTCAGGTGCACAGGACCAAAATTATAATAATTGAGGGCAACATTTGAGGAGAGCAGGCAGAAAGAGTTGAGGGGGGAAGAGTCAGCAGGATGTGAAGCACAAGGAGGCAAAAAGCAAGCTAAACCTGGGGGATCAAGCGCAACAGAGTTATCAGGGTCCCAATACCTTTATTTGGGGTTCTAGCCCCAGCAGGCATTTCACTACATCCGACTCTGGTGGTTTCCCTAACTTACTAAAACAAAATCTAGACTTCCATACCTGAAGATATTCTGATGCATATATAACAAGACAGTGATAAAGTGAATAGGCTGTCACTTTTGAAAGATGCTTCTGATGTGGAGATTTAGTACTTGGGTGATGGTTCCCAGGAACTGCAAATGAGAGTTCCTTTCAAGTCTGAGTCGCCTTTTCCAAGCTTGAGTTGTTTGTTCTAGAATGTTTGTTAGGAGGAGGTATGTATTGAACATGTGAAGTCTTTGTGTGCATACATGTGTGAAGCTTTCCCTCTCTATACATTTATCTATATATCTGTTTGCATGTATGTATGTATACTCTCCCACAGTCTCTTTCCACTTGAGAGGGTTCATGAACCAAAATCCCTACACTGTGTAGAGCAAAAGCACCACAGAATGGAAAGGTGACCTGCTATTGTTTACACATTACAGATGTGAGGGAAATGTTTGTTTCCTTCCGAGACAAAGTTGGCATAGAACTGCATAGTTGGAAAAGTCTGTTGGATGCAGGCCGTACCTTGTTTATTAAACATGCAGGCATCAGCTGAAGCAATTTGACTTGCTTTTCAGGGCACTGGCCTGTAATAACTTGCATATTGATAAACGTTTTGATGTTATGCAAAGCTGTGCAAACTGGTCCTTTGTTTACTATTCGGTAGCCAAAAAATAGAACTTATATTTTAAGTTCTACGATCCAGGAATCCAATGCTGGGGTGGGGGGATGTTGTCTCCCATGTTGCAGAGAACAAAGCCTTTCCTCCATTATGTTTGCATTTTACTTTAAAGCCTTCGACAGCTGCTGCTCTTCTCCCCTGCTGAGCTTAATTGGCACCACCAGGAGGAGAGCTCAGCCATTCAGTCAAGGAAGAGAATTGCTGGCTTCAAATTCCATTGTGTGGAGGACTGAGGTTTGGTGGGAAAGAGGGAACACTCTGCTGCCCCATTTCTGAAGGGGTGGTTAAAGAAACAGATTAAACAAGCCTAGAGGGAAGGATGCTAATGATGTATCAAGCAACACTGTAAATTGGGAAGAGTTACTGTTGTTGAGGCAAGAGGAAAAAGGCTGACCCCCACCAGGAGACTGTAATCAGAGGATCTGATTGTGACAGCCAACTTGCAAAGCTGTGGCAGGAGTCAATAATATTGAACATTTGATTTGGAATTAATTTTTGAAAAAATAAGAACATGGGAATGGCATTCTACAAACTTCCTGCAGACTGAGCAGTTTTCTATAATTGCAACAGAATGGGGATGTACGTAGTACATATGGATTAGCATAATAAACTTTATCAGATCTATCTGAGGCCTAATTAGCATTCATTGCTTTTTTTTAGTAAACCCATATTTCTTTTTATAGATTTCCCTCTATTGTACAGCAAGAAAAATGGGCCATCTTCAAGGGACACCTCAGCTAGCCTTCAGAGAGATTGTGAAGATAATCCCGTTGAAACTGAGGTATGTAGCAAAGCATTTTAAGCAGTCCACTATTTTGACACCTTGTACAATTTTTTAAACTTGATTGTCTTGGCTATTTAATCAACCAATGAAAGTTCAGTTAACTTTGGTCTATCTTTGAATCCACATTTAACATCTGAGGAATGGAGAAGTATTCTCAGTGTTCATCAGGATTCAAGAAATTCTTTATTATCATGGTAATAAATGCAGCACATTTATTTCATCAGCATCACCATCATTTGGGCAGAATGATCCTATGGTCTCCTGGACAGTATCTAGGGGGCCATAGGATTCTTTGGATTCCCGGATCTGAGGTCAGAAAAGAGTTCCCACCTTGGAGCTGGGAATCTGCCCTTGGATCTCCTTCCCTATCCCTTGGAGCTGGCACAGAAACAAACACAAAAACTGCTTTTATGGATTCATAAGATGGGCCTTAGAGAAAGGTATCCTGATGGTATTCCAGACTCCTTTCCTCTCAGTCTAAATCACCACAACCAGATGTCTTTAACTGGCTATCTAATAAACTTGCAGAGTGGAGAAGTATGGAGGTGATGATGGTCTCCACATTTGTTTATTTGTTTATTTACTGCTTTTGTATAATGTTCACATCTTTCAAAGCTCTCAGAACATTTCTCCTGCCCAAATATCCACAATTTTCCAAGTGCAGAAACCCTCAGGCATTCCCATTGGATTGTGCCTACAATAAACTAAAATAAACTGCTTACCTCATCTTCCCTGCTCTCTCCACTAGGCTGGACTAGAATCCAAAATTCTAGCTTGGATTAGAGTCACAGTAGCCTCAAGAAAAACTTGTGTATTTGGCTTTGAAAATCTGTATTATTCTTAAAGTAGTGAGGTGATCCAAAGGTCTGTACTTGACCTTGCCCCATAATTCAAAATTCATCCCTTGTGACACACTGAAAATATGGAACTGAGAAAATGGCCTTGTCCTTTCATGATTTGGCTGGAAGTTCTAATTTTAAAACTTGCAGCCCAACCCTAGCCCAGTGCAGCAGAACATCGATGCCTGCATGTTTTCTTTTACTGTGAAATGTCTTTCGCCTAGTCTTAGCCACTCCTCTGCTAGATTCATGTAATTCCCGCAAATGTCCGAATGCTCAAATATCTTGACTGTTTCCCAAAGGCATTTGGATAAAAGCAACAACCTACAATTGTTTAACCGTATTCCTCTTCTGTTTTGCACTGGAATGTTTTTCAGAGTCTAGCTTTATCTTGACAGTTATATGGGGTGGTGTGTTTTCTCATTTATTTGTTTGGGAAAGCCCTCTAAATAGAAGCATTGGATAACTAGTTACATTTTCCTCTAAAAATAATCATTGTATGCATTCCTTACAGCAGACATATCCAAACAGGATTCCAGAAATTATAAGAGAACATTTCAAACCCCACAGCCCAGCATTTCAAAAGAAAAGAAAAGGCACGAGTGTACCAGGAGAAACCCCTTCCTATGTTCCCCATTATTCACTGTACAACTGCAGGGATACCTGTCCATTCTTCCAGAGTGGATCTGTATGTCCTGCCGATCAGAGTTCATCTCCCAGTTACCCTGAGCTTGGAGTCAGAGACTACAGTACTGAAGACCGGTGTTTAAGAAATCAGACAGTATATGGTGAGCAACTGACCCCATCCTTGTTTACAAAGAATTCAGATGTCTCCTCTGTGAATCCTGATGTGGGAGATAAAACTGCTTCAAGGTCTGCCAAAGAACGGCACGACAGACATTTAAACAAAGCTAAACACAAGATCATGAGGAAGTTAACTCTTTCGATGGAGCAGCAGTCCAAGCAACTTGCTCCGAATGATGTGAGACTAGATGAGACAAGAACCAAAGAGCAAGGCCAAGAAATTCCAGAACCGAAGAATGCTTCTTTTCGTAGATATGAGAACATACCAAAGCAAGCTAAATGTGGTAGATCTCTTAAGTTCCCAGATGGTGATTCACTTATTTTGTCTCCTGAAGACAGACTTCCAAAGAATGTTGATAATTGTCCCAAAGACCACATGGCAGGCCAGCCTAAGTCACCACTGAAGCTAATTGCCAATGCTATAAAGAAATCCATCATAGACCCACTTATTTCTTCTCCAGAAGGTCTGAGAAAGGGGCAGGAAATGCATTCCAAGCTGCCTTCAGAAAGCACATTCTTCAATTTCCCTCATGCCTTAGTTCACTCTGTAAGTCTAAGGAACAGCAAGAATGATGTACAAACACAGGAGCTCCATAGGTTGAATAGTGCAGAAAATGGACTTGGAATCAGGAGTTCAGATATGCCTCATTTTTCCAGCGTTCCAAGAGAGGAATATTCTTGTGATGATAAATGTGTATCTTTTCCTGTTTACAGTGTGCATTCCAACCTTTCTAAGAGTCCTCCTAAATCTGTATATTCCGCTTCCAATGTGGACGATGTGCCAACACTTCTAGAAAGGTTTACCCTTAAAGAAAACCTGTGGAAGACTGCCAAGGATGATTGGCGTGCACGTAATCAAAAGAACATTCTTTATTCATCTCTGAGGCACCATAACAAGAATGCTGATACTATTTTAGATAGTGCTGAGCAAAGGAACAATGTATGGAACCTGTTCAGTAGCTTCAGGAATAAAGTAGATGATAGAGTCCAGTCCACTCCTTTAATGCCACCCGTATCGCCCTGTACTGTCTTTGATGTTGATGAAGTATTAAATAATTCTTCCAAAGAAGAACACTTGGGTAAGAAAACTGTTGCTTTTTAGATATTGTAGTATCACTTTGAAAGGTAGCTGTTTTTCCTGTGCTCAGCTTTTCATCAGTATTCAGGAAACTAGGCTAGAAACTATAAGGGGTAAATGTACTAATGAACTCTTTTCACAGAGCTTAACAGAGTGGGCCCAAATTTGCAGTTATTCTCAGTGGTCACACACGGCACTTTGGAATCGCTCTCTGCTGCACCAGCTGGGACCCTCCCCCCCCGCCCAGGGGCAGCTCGGCAACAGCTAGCCATGCTTTGATAACTCCCAGAGTAGACTGCTGTATCATGTTGTCCTTGACATTGATCTTTGTAGACCTCCTGGCCGTGGCAGTCAGGTTAGAACACAGCTGAGGCATCATTAGGGCAGTTCAATGGGAGCTGCTGCTTCCACTGGCTCATGGTCTCTTTCTGAGCAGAATCTGAAATATCCGTGCACACCTTTAAAGCAGGGGGAGGCAACCTGCGGCCCTTAGATATTTTGGTCTACAACCCCCATTAGCTGAGGCACCAGAGCCAATGATGAGGGTTGATGGAAGTTGCAGGGCCAAACAATCAGAGGGCTGTGAGATGACCACCACTTTTTTCAAGCCTTGGGTACCTGAAAAGTCTGGGTGTTGGAACAGGTCCCAGCTGCAACATGAGCTGCTTCAGAGCATCTTTGAAGGCATTGCTCTTCTGTCCAACCAGTCGAATTGGGGCAGACTAAAGCGAATACCACCTTGGTGATGGAATGAAGGAAACTTTCTCTGGGGGGCAGGGAAGATGGGCTCACCCAGCACTTACATTCTGGTCTTTTACATTCCTAGAGAAGATTAAAAAACAACAACAGGCCTTTGAATCTCTAGAAGAGTTTCATTATTTCATTTTATATTTTCCTTTCCTTTCCTTTTTCCCCTTTTTTTAATAACATGTTTTGTTTTTCCTACCTATTTGTAATATAACAGCCTAAAAATATTTTACATAAGTAGGAGCTATAGTTTTACAAATGTAACTATAAGAACAATATGGTCCACATGAAATGGCTATGCTGGTTGAGAATGATAGAATCAGTAGTTCACCCCATCTGGAGCACACAGGTTTGGAAAGGCTATTCCAGGCTCTAAAGCCCATGTTGGAATTGCTCCAGGGATGCCTCTACCAGGTTGGGCTATAGAACCAAGCATATGGTCCTCCATGCCTTCTTGTTCCTGGTGGTTGCTAACAGAAGGATGAGGACTTCTGACACAAGGCAAATTCTATGTGGTTAAGGACTTCTTGTATATCAGGAGTGGCCAGACTTGCTCAACGGAAGAGCCACCTATGGTAAACATCAGATGTCAGATAGCTGCAAGTGTGCGCCCATGGGCAGTGGTCAGAGGCGGCAAGTGGGCACCGTGAGTGCCCATAGCAGCTAGCAGTGAGCCGCAGAATAAGCCCAAAGAGCTGCCTGTGGCTCCCGAGCCTCGGTTGGACCACCTCTGATAGATATTATGGCTGTGAATCACGTGGCACTTGCCCATATTCAACAGCATCCTCATGGCAACTTCTGGTCTTCTGAAATGGCAGGCCTGCTTCTTCCAGATATGTTTACTGTTACTTTCAATATTGATAATGAGATTGAAGAAGTTCATTTTTAATGTCTGTATTGTGCAATACAAAAAAAAAAAAATCCCAAAGCACACCAGTAAAAAGGGAACAAAACTGAAACACTATAAATTTTGAATAAAATGTAAAAGGGTCCATAGCATGAGTTACATGTACATAATATTAAATATTTATTAAAATGTTTTAATAAATAAATAAAATAGCTCTTGTATACTAGGTAGTATATAACAGTATACTACCGTTAATAAAGATAATTATGCATAGGCTACAACGAAGCCACCCCAAGTTTCCATATACTTATCCACTTGTTAATTATGCTTACGGGCCACTCACTCAAAAATTGAAAGTTTCGTTTAACCCTGAGAAGCTCATTGTGGCAAAAAGAGCCTACAGTAGTCACTGAAAATTCTAGGATACTTTTTTTTTCTTCTCAAGGCAGTTGTACAGTTGCACTTCCCAAAATGTGCCTGGGACTATGCTTAGACTTCCCGCTGCAGTTCAGCTGCTTTACTTCCATGCCTGTGACCAACTTCTAGCATTGGAATCTTGCAAAAAGACAATAGGCGGTGCTCTCGTATTACAATAGGCTCCCTATTCTTGTCAAAGCTAGAGCAAAAGGGAAAGTGTTTGGATATACCTGCATCTAGAAGGAGATGCAGGTATAAAGGGAACAAAGTTTTGCTTGTTCAAGGCCACTTCAATGGCCTTGAACATGAAGGAACTTTGAGAAAACTCTGCACACTCAATCCCAAAGCAATGCTTTTCTGAGTACAGGCTTGAAAAGTACTAATAATTGCATAAATCAGCAAACTTGACTCTAGCCATATAGCAGGCTCAGTTTGGTGTGTGAATTTGTCCAGGCTGCTTTATGGTTAACAGGAAGATACTCCTGTTTGCATGTCTTTGCTCTCATTGTTCAATCCTTCATAATTCCAGCCATGCAACATTGTCTTATATAGCCAGCTGGCCCCAGAAGTGTCCAGCAGGAATTGAGTAATGGCGTTGAGCTCCACAGTTGGCTTGACGTCATCTAGTTTTACTGTACAACACTGGAGACGTGGGATTCCCAGGAGTCCTCAATCAGCAGAATATCTCAAAGGGGATGTTCTAGGTTGCTTTCCCTTCAGTTCCAAAGATGGCAAAGGAATGAGCTCCTCGCATTCCTCAGACATGCAACCCTAACTCAGCTTCATGTCTTCTAGGAATGCTTTAGCTAGGCCAGGCACAATCTAATGGGATCATGGATTTGGGAGCAGGACAAATCCTGTTCCCACATCTGTATGAATAGTAGAAGGGAAGGGAGCCGAGGCTACCCCAATTTCTATCCAATGGTTGGTTGGTTGAAGCGATCTTTCTGATGCTGCCTTTTGAGTTATGAGGACCACTGTAGCAGATTATGGCAGCATGACCTGACCTATGTAACCCAAATTTTCTAGGATTAGTGGACTCCTGCAGGGAAGTGACACACTGCAGCGGCTTACTGTGACTTTCCAGATGTTGCTAGATGGAAACCCCCATCCATCCTTGTCATTGGCTCCGCAGGCTAGGGCTGATAGAAGTAGCAGTCTACCAACTTCTGGAAGACCACATGTCTCTCCACCCTAAAGATAACCTCAGTTTTTATTTGGGCACAAAAATAAAATATTTTGCTCCATTTTCGACACGAGGAAAAACAGTGGGATGTAAATGCGGGATCAGGATGATGATGATCAAGATCATCATGATGATAATGATGGGAATCCAGGCTTAAACAGAAATCCTATGGCCCCTGCATGAATGTCCCAGGGACCACAGGATGGCTTGGAAAACTTCTTCCAAGGTCATAGACAATGCCCTGGTAGATTTGGAAATCTAACCTTTGATTTTAACCTGTCATAGTCAGCACCAGCTGACTCTCCAAGGCCAGAAGGTTAGCATAAGAGAGGAGAAAAAGGGACTATTTCCATGAGCAGAATGGAGGGAGAGTGGGGGTGCCAAGTTATTATTTATTTCAAGCCTCTTCCAGCCTCCTTCCCTCCTACTTCTTTCTAGACAGGCTGAAAGTACAGAAAATCAGAGAAATACAAATATTGCTTCACTGCTGTGTCTTAGATCCTGTTGGTTTCCGTCTGGCAAGGCCTAGGAATGTCAGAAGACTTCAAGTTCAGAGTTGTCCAAACAAGAAGATGTAGCCTATAGGATTACACCCTTAGTCACACTTAGGGCTGAATCACTGAAATCAGTGGGGCTGAAATTAGTAATGACTGTCTTAATTTCTACTGATTTTAATGGGTCTACATGACTAAAGCATAACTAAATCTGGATTTCTATAGATAAAAATGCAGACATAGATATATATGAAATTTGTGTGTATGTTTTAATATTCATCACCAAAAACTGCTTTGAGTTGAAGAGCAGGTTATAAAATATAAATTTGCTGGTTGAAAAGATGCTAGCCTTCTTTCTGAAGGATGCCATACAATGAGTTTAGTTAGAAGTTTTACTAGTGGCCTGTTAGTGTCTGAAGTTCCTCTAAAATAGCTTTCTCCAACCTGGCACCCTCCAGATGTTCTGGACCGCAACTTTCATTATCCCCAACCTGTATGCTCGCTGAAGATGATGGGCCCTGTTGTCCATTTCCTCTGGACTGATGAGGAAAGCTGCTCTTCAAAATAGAGCCAAACATGCAGATAGGATTTATTCTATAAGGTAGACCTGAGACTAAGATACTTCAAACCTGCTTGCTCTATCCTACAATTAAAAATAATTTTTAGAAGACATGTTTCTCCCTTTGTCCTAACACTGGATCCAGGGTCGCCCCATGAAACTGACTGGTGGGAGATTCAGGACAGATCAAAGGAAATACTTCTTTACAGAGTGCCTATTTAAACCATGGTATTCACTGCCGCAAGATGTATTGATGCCCAAAGAGGACTGGGCAAGTTAATGGAAGTGAAGGCCATCAGTGGCTACTCGTCCTGGTAGATATGCACTGCCTCTGGTATCAGAGGAGTACGCCTAGCTACACTAGTTGCTTGCAAACTTGGGCGGGAGGGTGCTGTTGGACCGCTTGTGGGTTTCCTTAGTTTGATCCAGCAAGTTTGCTTTTAATACTAGCTTTATCAACTGCTCTTCTGAAAACCAGTGTTTACCCAGAATTCCCAGTCAATGGCCCTGCTGAATGGGAATTCTGGGAGTTGCAGTCCAAATGCCTCTGAAGGCCACCTGGTTAGGGAATCCTGTGGTAGAACAAGTGGAATTGCAAATGGTTTGTCTTCTTCCACAGACAACAGCAAGCAGGTATTGCCTGCACACTAGATGATGATGATGACACTGAATGTGTATCCTGTCTTTTTTCTTCTTCTGAGGAGCCCATGGCAGCTTATGTAGCTCCATTTTATCCTCCCAACAACCCTGTGAGGTAGCTTGGGCTAAGAATCTGGGACTGCCCCAAAGTCACCCCCGCTTTTTTCTGAGGGGCTGAAAACCCAGCTGTTGCAGATCATTTCCTCTGTCTGCTGTTCTCTGGCTAAGCTGCAGAACTGCCTGCTAAACTCTCTTTTCCCAGGCTGCGCTGTCGAAAATGAAAAGGCTCAGTCAGTGATGATGCATGTCTCTTATGGTCTCTCACAAGGGACATCACTGGCTGACTAGACATGGCAAAGTGTGTGTGTGAGAGAGAGAGAGGGAGAGAGAGAGACAGAGAGAGAGAGAGAAGTCTTTGATACTCTAGGGAAAAAAGTAGACTTTAAGGCACTTTCTAATAAATATATTCACATGATAGATTAGAGTAAATCTACAGTTCTCTGGCCTTTCTATTGAACAATAAGTCCCTAGTCATGCCCTTCCCTCTGACTGTCTAAATAGAGTCTAATCCAGGTGTTAATCATTAATCCTGCAGCAGGTTAAGTGTACTAACAGATGTGCACTGCACCTATTCTGTTTCCTTAGAGAGGAGAATGATATGAATTAGACAAATAAATTGTCAAGCAGAAACGTTGCATGTCTATTAAAACATTGCCTTATCCTGATGAGGGCAAAAATAGAATAATAGGCAAAAAATTAAAGACTATTTGGATCTTTAAAGACAGCTTTCTTCCAGTATTCATTCATAAATGTCCATCTGGGAGATGCTTGTGAAACAATCCATTGTTGTGGTAGACATATTTATATTTACTGTTCAATGGTGTGATAATCTTGAGAGAGAGAAAATATAAGTGACATTTGTTTAGATCCAATTAAAGAAATATTTATGTTGCATGAGGCTGTATGATAAAACCTCCTTCATGAAGTCCATTTGCTTCTGATTATATTTGTGCCTTTTTTTATATGACCAGACATTCTGACGCCAGCTATTTTACACTGAGCAGATGTCACAGAGTAAAAATGGGTGCCAGATGCTACAAGCCACATAAGGGTAATTTGTTTAAGAGCTGGCTCAGACTTTGTGCATTCAATTACGTCGCATGGTGAGTCTTAGACAATCATTTAGATAACATGGCCAACTTCAGATATGCATTTTAACAACAGCCCTGAATTCTGAATGCAAGCTGAGCCATCATTCAAAAGGAATTGGAATTAACAGTGATGTGTGCATAAAACTTGATATGTTTGTGGATAGGGGTGGCCACAGAATTGCAGGCCTTGAACAGTAGCCAAGATTTTAATTCATATAATCAACCCGTTCTTCAAATGGCTGTTAGGTATAGCCTTGCAAAGATGCAAGCAGGTGCAATGTAAGTGGCCATGGCGAGAATCCAGGCAAAGTCTAGCAAGAGAATAGTGTCTGCCTCACTGAGCTTTGGTATCCTCTCTTAGGTTCTGAATGTCTACCTGTCAGAAAACAAGCAACTCAGTATTGCTCTTCATCTTCTGATGATGGATTAGAATGGAAGCCTTCAAAGACACGCAAGGTAACTATCCCCCAAAAGCTGTTAACCTTCACATGGTATTTACAATATTGAAGTTTTGGTCTAAAATGAAGATGCCATTATGTAATATCCATAAATGATGAGTAGGAACATGTACTATGTTAGATCAACTCTTCCCCAAAGCAGGCAGCAATGGTAGGCGGTGGACTGCAGGGAACAAAAAAGCAGAGAGAGAGAGAGAGAGAGAGAGAGAGAGAGAGAGAGAGAGAGAGAGAGAGAGAGAGAGAGAGAGAGAGAGAGAGAGAGAGAGAGAGAGAGAGAGAGAGAGAGAGATTGACTGATTGCAGGAAGAATGTGAAAGAAGCAAAACAAAGTGGTAGCAATCACAATAGCACATGCAGTATCTTTGAGGGAGGACAGCGATTTAGCAAGGGTTTAACTGCTGAACTGCTGCTTGTCATGCAAACTGGTCAGAGGCAGAGTTGCTGGCAAACCTGCCCGTCCCCTACATGCTGTTTTAGGTAAAGAAGGATGTCTCCCTTGGATTGACTTAGAAGGGAATTGCATGCATTGCCCGATGGAGGAGAAATAAGAGGTCTGTACTTGGCTGCTAATCTTATTATAGCCAGAATCTGAGACATTATGTGGGAAGTTTTTCAAGAGTTCAGGTAGCAGAAGTTGCATAAAATGCATAACTCTTGCCAGAACATGCTGGCATTGTAGCCAATCTGGTGGGCAGAATTGCAAGCTCACCCTGAGAGTTTCAACTACTGAGCAGTACAGAAATCAGGCTGCAGCACCTCTTCAAGACACAGACACTGAGTCTGGTTCTAAGCTACTTCCTAGTTCTACCCAGGAAGCTCAACCCTTTCAAGCCAAATTCAGCAGTTCTTTCATATCCTCAAAGGGTACACTTACTCTGGAGGAAAAAAGAGAATAGCCTAAGCTAAAAGCCACACAATTAATATGACCTGTCATTTGACATTTACTCTAAGAACCCTGTACAAAGTTGTAGTCAGAATTAATCTTCAGAATTAAGCCAGAATATAATGGCATTCTCTTTCCTTCTAACAAAGGCTTGGCTCCTCAGTTGACAAGAATTCAAGGCAGGCACTAGAAATGTGAAGGTCTGGAAAAAGGAGGTTTTTTTCCTCCGGACTTCCCCTCATTCCTCCCTCTGGATCTCCACACTTCTGTTGAAGAACAAAGCAAGAAGCTTCCCCCAGTACTGGGATTTCTCTCCCATTTACTGAGGAGCAGGTGTGGATCCAAGCACAGTTTGCAGGGAGAGACGACTGAACAGCCTGAGATGGTGACCTGCAGCCAGAGCAGCATCTGTTCATGTGCTCAGATCACATCAGTTCTGTTTACACACATTCATGAATCTTTGTGTGTGTGTGTGTGTGTGTGTGTGTGCGCGCGCACATATACACAGACAAAATTCTTCCTGAGAGAAATGGAATTTCTTAGGACTGGGCCTTACTGTCACAGCGAGGTCTCGCCCTGCTCTTGATATCCACATTATTTGGAAAGTAAGAATTACTTACAAGTTGGGCTTCTTGTAGGCCCCTCTAGAATCACCACTACCACCCCATAAAACCTCAGATTCTTTTGCCAAACAATTCCTATTCTAGGCCATGGGAAACTGAACTTAATAATTTGTATAAACAGAGCAAATATGCATAATTTCTCCTTTTTGCATCATTTATTCAGCAGTCTTTTGCTGGTTTGCATAATTTATTGTGAGGTCACTGATGTCCTGTTCTAGCCACTGAAAATTTTATTCAGTCACCTCTCTGCTAAGAATGTTCTAAGAATGTAGAAAACATTGCCAGTTCATTCTTAAGCAAGTTTTGAGCCATATATTCTAGAAAATAAGTGGGCAAGTTGTGGCGGTCCAGATGTTTTGGTTTATAACTTTCATCAGCCCTAGTTGGCATAGCCAATAATGAAGGATGACAAAGTTCTAGGCCAAAACATCTGGACCGTCACAAGTTGTCCTGCTCTGGAAACTTTTTTTAAGAATGTCATGCAGAAGGTCAACTCAGCAGCTGCTACCACATTCGGTACTTCATTCTGCACTCATGCAGAACTGTGACAAGTGCACAGTCCTACTTACAAAAGAACATGAAAAATCAGTGTTATCAAGATGCTCATGGACTGTAACTGTTATTACTATATACCATGGGTCATGCTGGTTCAGGCTGATAGAACTTGTAGTCCAAACATCTGGATGCCACCATACTGAGAATGCCTAGAGATGTCCATTTCTCATGCTGGACTAGCATGTTCCATAAGAGGTGACCCATTCAGTGCCCATTCAGCAGCTCTACAAATAGTGTAAACACATGAAGACGGCAACCTGACCTGTGTGGGTCGCATTGTAGATGCAATTATTTATTGCATTGTTATCATTTTGATACTGATGTATGCAGAATTGGGTGGCTGCCTCAGGTGTCAGTTTCATGGGGTGGCAAGGTGTTGGAGGACAGAGCTGTGTGTTTTTCACATAGCCTGCTCCTGAAGCTATGCTGTTGCCCTCTGGTTCACTACAGGCTGCCAAGCCTGAAGTAGAATTCAGCTGCTCGTCCAACTGGCTTCTGGATATGGAATGTGACCAAGGAGACATCCTTTGTCTCAATCAGTACATCTTCTTGGGCCAGCCCTACCCTTGTATATTAAAAGGCCATCATGTTTGTGGGACACAGAGTTAGGATTCAATCCAAATACTTTTGTAAAAAATAATGTTGCAAAATTCAAAGCAAGTTAATGACTATTTGTCTATGAAATTTTCATGTGGACACCGAAAGATATCTGCTGGTACCTGCTGTTGCTTGATTTTAGCAGAGACCAAGTTTATTTTTGGGGAGGGAAGGTAGGGAACAGCTTGGCATGAATGTTACATGAGTAAAGGTCTAGTCTAAAATATTTCAGCAGAGTAATGAGTGCATTTGTCTTGGCAAGCTGTACTCATAGCTTTATCTGTGATGCTGATCTGCTAGCTCACAGATGTTAATATCTATCTCCCACTGACCAAGCTAAGAACAAAACAAAATTATTGTTATAGGATTGCTGTGTTATTACTGCAAACAGGCCTATTATCATGGGTTTGCCTTCGAGCCATGCTAGATCACAGTTTGGGGTTTGAACAGACGATTGTGATGGGCCAGAATGTCTGGTCAATCTTCCTTCTTGGCTAGTGAGTGTCCTTTTATGAGACCAAATTCATAAATCATAGCTCACTGATGCTAAGAACTTTCTTTGGGTTAGGAATTGGGGGTGAGGAAGTGACACACTTTTCCTGAACCTTCATGATTTAGAAGAGGGACTGATGAAGTGTGTGGGGAAGGGAACACAAGAGAAACTATAGTGTCTAATGCCATGCTTTCCAGATGTTTTGGACTACAACTACCATGTGACACAACAAACTTGACCTACGATCTACAATAATGGGAATTCTAATTCACCAGTGCCTAAAGGGCACTAATTTTTGTGAGGCTATAATTACATAATGCCATCAAGTCTCAAGTGCCTGCTTCTCCAAATGGAATGAAACATGAATGAATGCTGCCCTTGGAACAGCTCATCCTTCGGGAGTGAAGAACACATAACATTTCGTTGGGGAACAGCTGGTTTTCCTGGTTGTTGTTTTTCTCTTTCTCTGAACATTTCCTGATATACATTCAAGGAAGTAAATCAGCACTGTGGCTCTATTTCCTTCTCGCCCTTCAGCCTGCTCCAGAGGAAGTGGGCTTCAGGGCGACAGTTGTTTGAGAGTTGTGAAAGGGCTGCTTCCTTCGTGTTCCACTTCCGGAAGGCATTTGGCCAACCACATAAAGTGCTGCACTAGATGGACCTTTGGTCTGACTGAGGAGGTCACTGTGTTCCACCATTTTCCCTTCACACCTATGAACTCATAGCAAGATGTCAAGTATGCTGATTCTCGGTCTTCTAACTTTCTACAGCTTATTTCAAATGTACACAGTCCTCATCTCTTCAGCTCCTACAATGAATTACTTTCCTACTGACCACTCTCTTTCCCAGGTTTTGTTCTCCTTTCATGCTCTTTAGAATTCTCTCACATTCTTCTGAAGTGCTCTCTCTCATTTTCTAAACATCTTTGCTACTTTTGACTTTGCTGGACTTACTGAAAGTTACTAACAGTTTTGGACAGTATCCAGTGTGACACCACCCTTAATGTAAATTATCTTGCATTTAGCACAATGCCAAAAGTGCTTTTTGGCATGATGGGTTTTTTGGATGGAAGCAGGGAGAGATTTAATATATTGCCGTCTGTTGTGATCATTGTCTGGCCCTGGAAATGTGCATGGCCAAAAAATCCGTTGAAAGTACAGCTTGATTCTGAGGTCCAAGATTCTTTGACCCTTCCTAACACTCCTCTCTGTTCCTGGAATGTGGGCCGTTGAGTCTCACGGAAGCCAGAGCCTGCCCCACTTCTCCTTGATGTCAGAAAACCTGTGTGGAGGGTGGCAACTGTGGGGGAGGCTTTCTCAGTGGTGGCCCCCATCTGTGGAATAGCCACCCCACTGCAGCCTAGCTGGTGCTGAATCTGTCATCTTTTTGGTGGCAGGTTAAGACAGTTCTTCTTTCTGAGGTTTTTAAGGACTTACTCAGCCACCCAGGGCTTAGGGGAACCACAGGTGATTGCAGGGTTCCTCTTTGCCATTCTTTGCACAATTGCCATTCTTTGCACAATTTTTGCACTGATTATTTTATCATCTGCTTTTAGCTGTTTTAAACTTTTAAACCTTTGCTTCTGGTTTTTATGATATTTTAATTTGTGTTTATGATTTGTTTTTACGGATTGTGTAAACTGCCCAGAAAACTTTGTCTGTCGCATGGTGTGGAAATGAAATAAATGATATGAACTAATAAGAAGAAGACCTCAGCCAAGCCCCAATAACACAAAAACCTTCCCCTGCCCAATACTTGACTACTGCTTGTCTTTGAATCCTAACTGAAACAGCCTTCTTCCCATGGCCTTCATCCAGTTGGATTTCTCTTTTCCCTGCGCTGAAGAGCATTGAAGCTTGTGTCCTGGGACTGCGGAAACTTGCAGCTCCGCTTCTGAGCAGCCTCTGCCGTGACCTGTGTCTCCAACGTGGGGAGAGCAGGTGGCAGCCTGAGAAAGAGGGAGAAAGGAGAGGCAGATACGGTGAGGAGGGCCACCACGGGGCAAAGCACCCCTGGGCACTCAAGCAAACAGATTGTGGAAAAGGGCAGCTCTGGAATGGCTCCTTACCAAACTTGGGTGTCCGGTGCAGTGCCTGTGACCAGAAACATCTCTGTTTGTGTCTGCCTAGTTCCCTACCCCACACAATTTTCATTTTATTTAAGGGATTTTCCTTCAAATAAAAAGAAATTCCTCCATTTGGAAGCTGGCATGGCAGAAAGCCAAGTGCTGCCTTCTAGCACTATTTGGCTTGGTTCAAAAGAGCAGTTCACCTGCTGATATTTAGCTTTATTACACTCCAGAGGCAGTGTTGGGTATCTAAGATCTGATGCTCAGTCCCACAGGAGAGAAAGGACTGCACAAGCTTGCTCTGTGCGGGTGTGTGTTTAAAGGACCCTGACTTCTAAGGGTACCCCATTTCAGAGCCTCTTTCCCACGCACTCCTTTTACCTCTTAAGACAGATCTCTGAAAAGGGCTTACCTGAAGAGGGACTTACGCCTACCACCACCCCATCTTTATTTATTTATTTATTTAGGAGGCTTCTATGCCACCCCATTCGCCGAAGCCTCGGGGCGGCTCACATCCCTGCTTTCCCTACTTTCGCCTTCACTCCGCTTTGGGAAATGCTATCAAGTCTAGCTCATTTCCAGAGTAAATAGCCTTTGTGTCCCAGTTCAGATACTCTTTATATTTCTTCTACTTTTCTTTGTTTCTTCTTTCACAAATATCCTGACTAATTTCAAAATGAGCATTAAGGTACTGATTTGGGTGTACACCGTCATGATCCTTATTCTCTTCAGCAATTTAACCTTCTTCCCTCCCCCTCCCCTTACACCCTCTGTCTGCATCTGGTTCTAGGTGAAGGCCTCCTTCTTGCATGGTAAACTGTTGTCCCAAACCCTAAATCAAAACCTATAGTCTCAACTGCATTTCACATCAGAATATTGTGTTTCTATTCAGCCACAATTGACTGAATGATTAATATGTTGCAGATGTAATAAATAGGTCAAGGAAGACTTGAACTGGAATTTGACACTCCCAAACATTTATTTGTTAGTCATCAAGATAGTACCTCTTAGGTTGATAAATGCTCTGTTTCCTCTCCATTGATGGAGCATTACCCTTGCCTTTATCACCAGAAAATACTAATACCTAACTAAGATTGCAACAAGGCCCCTATTGATGAGGACAAAGGGGAGTGTCCCTAGCCAAGGCAGTCAAAAACTACTTAACATCCACATTTAAAGGAAAGTCTGAAAAGCTGTGACTAAGTACAAATTATTGAATTATTGATTGTCATTCTGGATGTTTCTTTATTTTGGTAGACCAAAAGAACTCTTAGAAGAAACAGAAAGTTGGAAAAGGAAACAAAACAACTGGTTAAACAAGAAGAACTAAAAAGGCTTCATAAAGCACAGGTAATTAAGAGATTTTCCTCCATGAAACAAATGTCCTAACTTCATGGATTTAGTACTGGATGGTTGGTAAATAAAAGCTTTGTCCTCAGGTTGTTTGGAGGAACCAAAATATCTTTGCCTGGAGCCAATACAAGCTGGCGATCCCCTGCCTTAATTTCCCTTCATCTGCTTCTTTATACCTTGTTTTAAACTATATCACTCAGGACAGTTCCAGACATGAATTCTTATGTCTAATGGAAATGGTTTTAACCTAGATGCAATCCAACTCCTGTTTGTAATGTTTGGGTGAATGAACTTACTGGATTTTGAAGAGCGGATAGGTTTTAGCAATTATGATAGCTGTACGACTGCCAAAGAACACTTGGGCAAGTTCACTTATTGTAGCGTGGATTCTAGTAGTACTGGAAAATACAAGCATGTTTTAAATCCCCACTGTATTTCCTGCACCTTCTTTTCCTGCCAGCATCATGTTCCCATGTCCTAGAGCTATTTAGAAAAGTACACTTGCCTGTATTTAAACACTACTTTGTTAGGTGATTAAGGGCACAAACATATACACATGTTTAGGCAGAAACACACTGAGGCATACTAGGAGTTATATGAGTTTTTTCTGTCTAAATATGCTTCGGATTGTGCCCTAAAATGATGTAAGGAAATTGATAAGTGCCACAGGTCAGTGGCTGGAAACATGTCTTGTATGTCACTGTATCCCCATTTTACAAGATCTCTGGTAGGAAGACCATTTAAAAAATCAAATAAACCAACAAAAATACCAGCACAGCCTCCCTGTGATCACAGGACTAGACAGACTGAGAATGACAGCTTGATTTGCATTATATTTATATAAATATATCCATAGCTACTGCTTTGAGAAATTTCTTTTTTAATCTATATATTCATGTTCAGGCTATCCAGAGACTACTGGAAGAAGTAGAGGAGAAGCAGCGAGACCTGGAGGTGTACGGTGTTCAGCTAGAGAAGGAACTGCGAGGAGAATCAGGTAACAGAGAAGAAATGTGTGAATCTTTGAAGAATATGCTGGCTTCCTTCAAGATGTTGGTGCTTCTTTGGGGAAATGCCATGGAATTTAACTTTCTATTCAGCTTGTGGGGTTTGCTATAGGTTTGCTATCATATGGGAACTGAGCAGCACGGTTTATTTCTCTAGAATTGTTACTTCCCTAGTAATATTTTATTCAACCTTATTAGCAAACTTTACCCCTTTCTCTCCAGCCCTAATCCTTCCATTGGTTTATCTTGTTTGCTTGTTCATAAAGAGCTTCTGTATTCCACAAGTTAAGGTTGGATTAACTGGCATTGGGCGGTTGTGTGTAGGTGTTTCTACTTGTAACACAGCCTGACCATAACAACAGCCTGAGGGAACATTCCACCCCTGCCACCTCCATTTCCTGACCTGGGAAAGACTTTCATCTCCACCTGGTTATCACGATTAATTTTTTTTCCACTAAAGAGCCAAACCTATCTAGGAAAGTTCACAAAATTTGCCAGGTCCCAACTGTTGCCTGCCCACGAAAGCGAAATTGACCAAGAAGAGCTTTGGAGTGCTTCAAAGCCACTAGTCCCCAAAGAGAATCGGAAGCAAGGATGTGTCATTGTCTAGCACTTCCTGTGTGTGGAGGTGTGAGCACCAAGACAGGACACGAGGGAAAGAAAATACTTGCCATATGAAGAGACCACATTGGTAGTGGGCACTGTGTGGGGTGAAGCATCACACCTAGTCAGCTTTAAGTTTCTAAATGTTTATGGGGCTCAGAAGCATATGGTGTTTTATTTGGCTATGGTCTGCTAATATGTTATACCCTTAGATTTGTAATAAATGAATGTTTACCCCCTTGGTGTATCTTGAGAGACTGAGACTCCTTGTTCCCTTCACTACCCTTAGTAATTTAATTCCTCCTATTAAGGTTACTTAATACTCCTCTCTGTTGATTGGTAGACAGCTACACATGCTGGTGTTCTAGAAGGGTTGGTGATTACTCCTCATCTGTAGGTCTCACATGCCACATTTTTCATACATTCTGCAAACAGCCCCTAAAAACTATTAATTTTGGGCTTTTGCTTATAACAATATTTATGTGAATGTAGAATTCCAGCTGCTCCTTTTCCATTCCCTTTTCAGTCCATTTCCTTTTAAAAACAATGTGTGCTATAGTTTAATGAATGACCAGATTTTATTAGGTTAAGCTGTATTTAAGAAGGACTTGCACTTATGGAGTTCAAGTGATTTAATAGGTATTATTAGTGTAATTAGAAAATCATCACAGTTAAGCGATACTATTGAGCTGCAAAGGTTCTGAATAACCAGATTTAGAGATAGGCCTGCAAACACCCGTCTCCCATCACATCAATACAGCTCCCTTCTAATAATTGTGGGAGTGCAGGCTGAAAGGCTCTTTTGTTAGGGGGAGCTATGTCTTAGCTGCTGGACTGAGTAAGAAGAGGACGTGCACGGGAACAAAAACAAAGTGCTGCAAAGGTGATGAGCAGAACGCTGCTCTGACACTCTCACAGCCAGCCCAACGGCGGCGTGTGCTAGAAAAATCAGAAACGAGTTCTATGAATACTGGTGACTCTACCTAGAGGACCAAGACCAGGTTAATCGTGCCTTAGTTTGCTTCAAGTTTGTTTGCTAGTTGTCCACGCATTCATTCTTCTAAGGTTCCTACTAGCATTCAGGCACAGAGTATATGTCCTTCGTCACCTAGCTTCAATGGCTTCAGCTGTTTCAGGACTGCCCTAAGCCCTTTCCTAGTAGCATTTCCTAATCTATCAGTCCCTATGTATTATTAGCTACAAGAGTATCCAAATAGGAAGTATAATTCCCTGCACTTAGGGATGGCTGAGAGTTTCATTTGGTTCACATTTTAATGCTGGCTTTCCAAATTTGTACCTCCGGAATCTGCACAGTAACCAGACTCAGTTATATCATCATCATCATCTTCATCATCATCATCTGTTGTAAACCATCCTGAGATATCTGTGATGGAACAGTATAGAAAAGTTTTAAATAAATACATATCATTATCATCATCATCAATTGCATTTATATCCTGCATTTCTTTCTCTTGCAAGGAACCCAAGGTGGCTCACAAGGTACTCTTTTCTTTCTATCCTTATAACAACAACCCTGTGAGGTAGGTTAGACAGAAAGCCTGTAACTGGCTCTCAGTGAGCTTCAGAACTGATTGGGGTCTAGAAGTCTGATTTTTGGAGTCCTGGTTCAGTAACTCTAACTACAATATTAGAATATTTCTGAATTTTTGTGATGCAGTTTGCAAATTAGTTAGTTATTGTATTTTTTTAATCCTACTGTTCAGGCCACCATTGTCTCTTAAAGCTGCTCTCATCAACTGAGAGAGAGTGAGGTGAGGGTGAGGGTCCTCAGGCTTACAAACTAAAAAGAGAAGGCAATGAGAAGAAGGGGAGTGGAGGGGAAAGGAGCAGACATAAATCAGGTTCTCAAGGCCACAACATGGTGAACTGTGAGTGGCTGCTGAGATGCACTTTGGGCAGGCTGATTTTCCCTCACTGGTGTTCTTGCTTGAATGGACTTTTGCTCATGTGGCCAGTGGATGGGCTCCTTACAGCCACAGTCTAGGGCAGCGATTTGGGGAAATTGCTTGGAAAATGCATGCACTAGCAAAATGCATATATTAGAAGAAATGCTAATGAAAATACCCATACCATTTCTGGGGAACTAGGATGGGAGACACATCATATCTGAGAAAGAGATTCCATTCTAAATGGATCTTCATGTTCAAAAGCACTTTGCTTCTGGAAAGCAGGCACTAGAGATAAACCGTGGGGGCAGCTGGTGACCAATATTGTCTGCCTGAGAATATCTTGAAGTCAGCTGGTTGGCTGCTTCTGGAGACGGTGTTGGAAACAGCAGTCTTAAAGGCCATTGCTGATGGAAAGACACTTTAAAAAGGGGGCTTAATACCTTCAAGATGCCAGACTAGATAGATGATGTGCCTCCATCCAGCAGGGCACTTAAGAATTGAGCTGACAATCTGGAATACCCACAGCAGGCTCTTTTAAATCCTTGAAAGCAGAAGTAAGACCAGTTGGGTAAAACATGGCCTAGCACAGACACAACAAGGCAGTGGAGGTCACTTCCACTCATTTCCCTCTGTGATGAGAAGGAACATGGCAAGGCACCACCCAGGAATCCAGTCTCCTGCTGTAGCACTAGAGGGAGAACAAGGCCTGGTTGCTGCCACCTCTCTTGGGCTCTCGGCTCCAGCACTGCAGCCATGGTAAGCTGCTATAACCATAGCTTAAATAGCAGAGAACGTCAGAATAGCCGAGAACAGCACCGTCAAAATAGCAGCAGTGTGTGCCAGTTTTTCTAACTTTCTTCTAGCTTGAAGGCAACAGACTTGCATGGGGAAGGCTTCACAGTTGTGTGGCAAATATTTGCCCCAGAAGCCTTTGCATCTTGCAAGATTTCTGCACCTGCCATTATTGATCCAGGATAGATTTATTGGTGGTGCTGTCATAAATTGCTGCATGAAACTATTAATATATATTCCTGTAGAAAGATTGAATCAGTTTAATTCTAACAGAAATGTTCAGGATTACATGCTCTGACTGAACAAAACATCTGGCCATTTCCCTAGGTGCCACCCCCACCTTTTTAGGGCATGCCATGAGCTGCCCAACCTATCTCACAGGGTTGCTGTTGTGGGGATAGCAGCAGGAGGAGAATGATGTAAGTCGCTTTGAGCTTGTAAGAAAAACTAAGATACAAATCAAATAAATAACCATTAACGTTACCAGTTAAGAAACATAAAGAAACAAGACTGAGGAACACGTGCCCAAATTTATAGTTGGACAGCTGCTGACAGAGTCAGTGCTACTGGGTCAGGTGCTTCATTGTGCTGATATCTCATGTCCTAATATGAGAAAAACAAATTTACAATGAAGGCAAGAAATCAAGTTAAGGGACCATTTAGTATCAGTTGTATCTGAAACATTTAACTTAACCTTTTATTCACCTTCTAACATAATCTTCAGCTACTTTTAGTTGTAGTGTTTGACTATTACAAAATACTCAAAATACTCAAAAAAAAAAGTTAGGTACTTTTTAGGTGAAGAAACTTTAATAAACCTTGCTTTGGTCTCTGCATGGTATAACTTTTGGGATCATGGGGAAGAAAACCTGATCTTGCAATGCTTTTAAAAATATCTTAAACAGATTCAAGAACACAAGATGAAACTCAGCTGTTACACGAATGGTTTGAGTTGGTATTGGAGAAGAATAAATTAATGCGCTATGAATCTGAACTGTTGATCATGTAAGTAGGAACTCACAGTTTGCCATTAGTGGTAAAAATGTCAGAGCTGAGAGAATATACACATGTTCCAGGCTGAAGATTCTATTCCTGATACATGCAGATGTCCTTTATTGAACTAAATTATTGTCTTATGCCTTGCATAAGATATGATCATTAACATACAGAGAAAGAGAGTTGCCATTTCTTATGCTATTGTCATTTGTGGTCAGAACTGGTTTACAATAAATGTGGCTGAATGCTACCCTCTGTTTTATACCTATGTTTTCAGCAGAGCCAAAGTACTGTTAGGCGAACATGTCAATTTGACAATTGCTTACAACATAAGGAAAACATATGTACAAGTGTATGGTTTTCAGAGTGGTGGAAACGGTTTTATTGTTCTGTAAACACACATACTCTTATTTTCAGAAGAATAATACTGATTATTATAATAAATAATAAAATAATAAAACTAGCTGTGCAGGTTGGAGTTTGTTTGGAAAAAGAACAATAAGTCCATGAGGGCAGATACGGTAGCAGAGAAAGTCTTTTTCTGCTGCTTTGACCTGTTCAAAGGAAAAGTAGGATATGAATATGAAATTAACTAAATAAATCCTTGCTATACAAGAATCTATTCGGGATCTATATGGGAGCTCTGCATCAACTCAACCACTCAGTCATGCCCCTGTTTAAAGAGATACATCCAAGGGACTGGATTTGGAGGAGCTAATGGCATGGTGCTGTTTTTCTCAGAAAGACAAAGATAAAATGGTTCCTTTTAAAGACTGCACTGGAAGAGTTGGGTCAATAAAAAAGTATTGGCTGCCCTACTTTTTCTGACCTTCTATTTCACGTGCACAGTTTGCTTGATAATTTTGTTACTAGGAGATTTTCCAAACAGCAAAACTGGCATGCTATTGAAAGTCTTGTGGTGACCAAAACAAACAGGACTGTTTTCACTTGTCACCTTCTTGCCCACTTTAGATTAATTTGATGTACCACAGTTCAGTGTTGGAAAGGCAGATAATTTAGGAGCTTTTAAAAATCATTTTGTCAGCTGTTTCACCTGATGTGTTTTCAAAGGGTATATTGAAAATCTTCTGCAAAGACAGATAATAAAGATGATATTAGTATTATCTGCATAACAAAGTCAGGTTTTCAACCAAGAGTATGGTGGGATGAAATGCCACAAGCAGCTGTGGACCTCCTGCTGTATATACTTTTGGTGAACAACAGATTTGTATTTATTCATTTTAATTTTGTATAACAGCCTTCCTCCAAGATGCAGCATCTACAGGCATGTCATCCCTCTGTATGTTCCCAACAGGCCTGTGATGTATGGAAGGTTCAGAGAGGCAACTGGCCAAGGCTGTGTCCCTCACTTCTCTACACTGCACCACATGGGCTGTATGGAGCAGACTTATGCTCAGCCATAGTTTGTTCTTTATGTATGCCACCTTGATAAAATGCTGCTATTCGATGGGAGAGGGATAGTTTTGAGCAGTATACATAGGGATGGATTAGTCTTGAGTATATGGGCCTGGTCTGCCTAATCATGAATCCTGCGAAGATGATTCTAGTTATTCTATTTGGGTAATATGCTGATGGGGATAATGAAGATTGATGAGTCATCATAGCTGACCCTCCATTATACTTGTGCCTAGGGCCAAAGAGCTGGAACTAAAGGACCATGAAAACTGATTGAAGGAGAACCAAGATAGAAAAATGGAACATGGATGGTAAGAAAAAGACTGACTAACTGACTTGGTTTGCACATAATGACAGTAAGTCATGAGCTAACCCACAATTTGTCATGATGCATGCCATTCTGAATATTTACCCCTTAACTGGGCCAATCATGGATTTCTATAACCTAAACTTTATAGGTTAATCATGTGTTAAATAACCTACAATTAACCTACAATAGTTAGGTTAACTTTGGATTGTCTCACCCATTGTTATCCTATCAATGTAGCAACCACCTGATGGGGTAGAATATTCAAAAAGGCTGCAGAATACACCATGGCAAATTGTGGCTCAATTAAATCACATTTTCCCATTTTTGTGTGTGAATAGACCTATTTATTTTAAAAAAAGGGTGCTCCGAAGGTCAATTCAGATCTACAGGCAGAGCTTGGGGTAACTTGTATTTGATCATTATGGGTGTCTGACTTCCAATTGTTTTACAGAAATAACAAATGAAAAAATTGGCCTGCTCCCATAATAGGGAGTACTGAAGCCAGCTTGAGGTAAAACCAGGAGTAGATTTGAGGATAAAATAACTGTGAGCTCAGATCCAGCAATAATACTCATTCTGTGCCATCTGTAGCCAAAGCCCTCTGGCAGATCACAACATTTAAGTCACCCATCCAGATTTCAACCAGACCCATCCCTGCTTAGCTTCCAAGATTAGGCAGGATCAGGCACTTCAGGCTACATGGAAGTTCTGTTATTAAGGAATTAAAGCAAATTCCTGACCTGATCATGTGCTCAGAAATGCTCTGTTCCTTAATTCAAGATATATATCTAGCTCCTGAACAACTAGCTTCATTAAAGCCCTAATAAAGTTATTATACTGTTATGGATTTCATTTAAGTCTTGTTCGTGAGACTTGGGGTTCTAGGAAAAAATGAGCCTGCTAATGTTTTTTGTGCAAGATATACTTGTATACTGATTAAATTCAATTTTAGATTTACATGTCCTTAAGAATATTTGTGCATATTCAAGAAACAGGCCATGTCAGTCCTTAAAACTATTGGTGGTGGTTTGGAAAGGTTCCCAACATGTACCTGAAACCTCACAAGGTGGCATGTTTTTTGTTTGTTTGGATATTAAAAAGGTAATTTGCAGAAAGTAAACAAACTGAAATAGTGGGTGTGCAGCTATTGCATGGAACCCTCTTTTTCTTTATTAAAGGTGAATTTATAAATATAAAAGCAATTTGGAGATTTGATGAGCTGGGGAAGCTGCTAAAAGGAAGCTGCACCAAATACTTGTAGTAGGGGAGTGGGAGATACATTTTACTGTCTGGATTACAGACACAGTAAATGCCATAGTATTTAAGGCATGTGCCATTATTTCTTCTGAATAAATGAAGGGTATAGCTTTGGGAACATATTTTATTCATATATTTAAAAGATGGAGTAGAAGGAAATGAATATACCAAAATTTCTGCTTCATTTTCTTATCTATAACCATAGATCACTGGGTTTTAACCAGACAAAAAGATTTGTTTGGTCATTCTCATATTATCTAAGATCAGGGTGGGAGTTATATAAACCAATATTTGGATAATGTGGAATTTAACTATAGTGTGAAACTAAACCATCAAGTGAAAGATACAAGACTTTCAAAAGCAGTGTGTGATAAAGTATCTTAATTAATGATTCAAAACGTTGTGTTTTTTTAAATCCTCAATCCAAATCTAAAACACTGGGTGTGTTTCTCTGGAACATGGTCTGATCATGTTTGACTCAGGGCCAAGTTACATGTTTTTAATCAAGCAGATCTTGATATTGGGAGTGAGTTTGGCTACAAGTAAGATGTTTGGGGGCAGGTAATTCAAAGGAAGATGCCCCTTTGTTCTTAAAAAAAAAAAAAAAACTATAGTGGTGCATCTTGATATGATTCAGACAGATCTACTGTTAAATAAATGGGCCTGTTACCATCACATCTGAGTATTCTCCTGATCTGAGGAATATTTGCAGCAGGCATCGCAAGGCTGTGTGTTGAAGCCCATCCACTGCTGGAACTGGAACTGGAACTGGAACTGGAACTCCCCTGGCAAGGGTATGGATCTTCATGAAAAAGAGTACTTCCTGTGTAAAGATGTCTGTGCAGAGCTATTAACCCACAAGGAGGAATCCTGATGGGGCTGCAAGCACATCTATTTGTACACACAGAGAACTCTTTCTTGTGAAGGTCCAGTAGACATTTCTCAGAAGAGGGAGAGGTGGTGCACAGTTCCGGTGGTGGGTGGGACTATTGCACAAACCCTGAAAGTCCCTCTGTGTAGTCACTGAATCGGCAGAAGTTGCATGTAAACCAGAGTTCAGAGATCTGCTTCAGATGTTCAACTGCAAGCCCTACCATCCCTCACCTGACTGACTGAGGCTGATGGGACTTCTGGAGGACTGTCAGCACTCAGGCCTCAAGCCAAGTGTAAACCCTGCTTTTGACACATTAAATCCAAAGTTAATTAATAAATTATGCCATTTATTGTACAGAGGAAACAATGATTAACAATTCTATTTTAGGGGTTATGTTGAGATAAGAAGCTAAGTGATGAATTTGAAATGTTGGATATGATGATCAGAGATGGATGGAAATTAAAACTTGGAAAAAAGATTGTGCAGAGGGGGAGGGAGAGGGAATGCAGTATTTTGAAAATTTTATACTTCAGGGGCATACATTCTTAAGGACACATGCCTTCTCCCAGCAAATCATTTTGTGCCACAGAGATGGTCAACACCATTGATGCAAGATTATGGTTATTTTGGAGGAAAGGACTGTCTGTTTGCTACACTCCAAGGGGAAGAAATGGTGTTGCCACTAAGCATGATAAAAACAGTCTTGTTTTCTTACATCAGTGTTTATGCAAAACGAATGAGCAAGTGAATGAAGTCTACACATGCCTTATCTGATGTGCTTCCATGGTGGAAATGGCATCAGAAGTGTTCATTGTTTTCCACATCCTGGAATTTTAATACCGGGTGTTCTTGAAAGTTGCACAATTGCAGCATTGCTTTTGTTTTCTTGAGATTATTACTTTTCTATTCATTTTTCTGTGTTGCAGAATGTTTCATGTATATGTTTCTTTTCATAGGTGGGTCACCAAGAAGAGTGTTCTGATTTCTAAAATAAGCATCAACAGTACACCAACGCATTAACCTTCAACATTAATTCTTACAGTGGAAGATACATTGTAATTTTAGGTTAAATATGCATATTGTAAAGAAGTAGCTGGAAAATTCTCAGCACAGTGTCAAGTGGCTATAATGTATAAAAATGCTGACAAGGTAGATGGTACTCCATATATTAATGGAGCTTTAATACACTGGTAAATATTTGCAATTTGTACAACTCTACCTTAATATCAAAGGGATGTTCTTAACCACATTCAGAGGGATCAAGTGAAACTTTGTAGAAGGCAAGGTTATTTGTGTAATGTATTTTACAGGATACTTTCACATAATGATTGATACTATTATGTACTCTTTTGTTGGTGTACAGAATTGTAACGCTACATATTAACTCTTAAAACTGGCTACATTCCTTTTCCTATAATGCTGACAGTATTTATTAGACCATCTGTAAAGGTCCATAAGCTGTACCTATGCCGTTGCTGCTGAAGATAAATGTAAAAAGAACATGTTCCAGATTAATACTTTGCCAAAACAGCTTGCAGAGCTCCTGTCTTGAGCCCATTTCATTGAAACTTTGCTGATACTACTGACATGCTGCAAGCTCAACTCTTTGCCCACTGGCAGAAAAACAAAACAAATACACAAAACCTATCCCTCAAACAAAACGGAGGACTTTACTTTGAATAGTCTTTGATAGTTCATTGATTTTTGTAGTTTAAGTGCTAAGGTTGTATGAGGGATCTGGAATAACACACGTACTGTGTCCAAAAATTTTTGACTTCTACTTAAAAGGGACAGACTAAATCATCAATAAGCAAAAGGTGCTTAAATGCTGGCTGCCTACGGCTAAGCAATAGCAGGTGTATGCATAAAAGTGAGTGAATCTCCAGAATGTAATGTAATCAAGGGCTGGCAAACTGTGGGAGTTCTGGAGGCATTTACACATACCTCAGGGGGGGATGCACACTCTGTGGGGTGCTACACACTCCATGGGGCACCCTTCCAAAATACAAGGAGGAAGACAATATCACTGTTTTGACACTGGATTTTGGTTACAAATCTAAACTTAGTTTTAAAGTACATGTTAACTTTCTGGTGCTCCACAGATGCTACAGATGCCTTTGGGGAGGCAGGGGCCACACTGGGGTATCTGGGGCAGAATGCAGCCTGTGTGTTATCCATCTCTGTTCTATTCCAAAAGCAAGTAGTAATTTCTGTTACAAATAATGCATTGTAATATGTAATAAAGCCTCAGCTCAGACAATCATGATTTAGAAGCTGCAACAGGCCCCATGCCTGTGTTTCTTAAGACACAGGAAGAGAAGGAAAGCTTGTTTTCACCTGAGAACAAAGTCCATTTCCTTTTTACAGAGAAGTTAACGAATTACATATGAATTCAGGGAATGTCAGTTTGTTCTAACCAAAGTTAGTTTTGTAAAACACACAGTTTTACTTTCATTTGTACAAAAATGCAGTTTGTTCTCAAAGTTGACATTTTCCATCCTTCTTCTTGTTCATAAAACAAGCAAGTGGCTTAGACCTGATAATTTTAGATGGCTGACGTGAGCCTAAGCATTCTGTTAAGAAACATGGAAATGCCTCCAATGGTGGTAGAGAAAATAAGATTGTGTTCTTTTCAACATGTATGTATTTATTTGTCTGGGCTTTACATGGAATGTCTACTATGAACATATTTATCATTACAGGCTCATTTTTCTGTTCAGTTTTCAGTAAGTGAATAATGTTTAGACAAAGCTGCTTTGCTGTATAAGACAAAATTATACTATTTTAACAAAGATGTACTGTATCTAAAATTCTTATTTGCACTTAATAGTATTCTCCCCATGATGTATCTGTAGTGTGAGAGTTACAGTATTATTGTAGTGTAAGCTATTTTTCATGGTGGTATTAAAATATATTAAAACTAAAATCATATCTTGGTAATTTGAGTGTTCATTGTTGGCATGAGATAATTTATGTCGAAACCAGATTCCTTCAGTCAAGGTGGCTTAAAACTTCTGAGTGTTAAGACCTTTTTCTGCAAAATCACAGAGTGTTGCAGTCTAGGAATATTTAATAGAATTCCAGGTTCCTATTGGCTTGTATAAAGGTTTCTGTCCTCATGATCACTGACGGGATGGTGTCTGCTAGGACAAACAGCAGTGAAGTCTCAGTACAATCTGGATGGTATCTACCTAACCCATCATGCTGAAAGAAGCATCCCCCTCCCATGCAGGTCAGGATGTGCATTCAAAATGGGATCTGGGAGGCTGGAGGACTCAAAGGAATGTTTGGGGGCGGCTGCAGGGGAATAACAATCGGGGGGGGGGGGGGAGAAAATTTGCATTGTGCAAGTTCAAGCCTTCTTATCTGTACCTTAATTTTTGCATCTGCAAGTGGAAAATGTTTTTGTTTGTTTGTTTGAAGTTTGTCTATACCGTCAATTCATTACAAAATCTCAAGGTGATTTACACAGAAGAAAAAGTATTAAAAACAATTATTACAACCATAAAACAGTTAAGAACTCCTAAGTGCCAGTAGTTGAGGCAATGAATTAAAATACCACTTATCATTTATTTATTTGTTTAAAACTTTTGTATACCATCCCATCACAGATGCCTCAGGACGGTTCACAACAATTAAAAAACTGGGAAAATGAAAATGTTTTGGCCTGGAGCTGGAATGATTAAAGCATTGACACCAGGCGTACCTCTTTGCAAAGTAAGTTCCATAATCTGGGCGCTATGGTGGAAAAGACCCTCCTCCTTGTAGCAGCCCTCCCTCCCTCCCTTTTTCAAGGAGGTCTCTCAGAGGAGGACCTCCACAGATGATTCTAGGGTCTGGGCAGCTTGCCTGGAAGGAGATGTTCCCTTAGATAGCCAGGCCCTAAGCTATTTAGGACTTTATATGTTATTGTTAGTCTCTTAAATACAGCCAGGACTTCAACTGGTAGCCAGTGTAGTTGATCTAGGACTGGTGTAATATAGGACCAGCAATACGTTCTCATCTAACAATCCCAGTCAGCAGTCTGGAAGCTCTCTTTTGGACAAACTGAAATGTCTGGATTGTCTTTAAGGGCAGCCCCACATAAAGCAGGAAACAACAATGCAAGTAGGAGGTTAGAAACATAGAGCAAGTCAGAAGGGCCATCTAGTCTGACCCCTGGCTCCAGCTGGCTCCGCTCATGACATGCCCACCATGTGCATGTCCAGCCTGTCTTTGAACACCCGCACCGGTGGGGCCTCAACGACCTCTCGTGGAAGCCCATTCCACACCCTCGGGGTCCTAACTGTCAGGAAGTGCTTCCTGGCATCCAAATGGAACCTTGGCTCCCTGAGCTTTGCTTCGTTGGAGCGCGTCCTGCCTTCCTCTGCAGGGGAGAACAGGTCTCTACCCATATCCGTGTAACATACCTCACATACCTGTATGTCGCCAACATATCCCCTCTGAGTCTCCTCTTCTCCAGGCTGAAGAGACCCAGTTCCCTCAGTCTCGCCTCATACCCCATCCCCTGCAAACCAGCCACCAACCTTGTGGCCCTACGCTGCACTGACTCTAACCTGGCTATATCCTTTCTGTAATGAGGGGCCCAAAACTGAACACAATACTCCAGTTGCGGGCGCACTAGAGTTGTGTAGAGTGGTAGTAATACCTCTCTTGATCTAGAAGCCACTCTTCTGGCTATGCAACCAAGGGTGGCGTTCGCCCTCTTGACCACTGCATCACACTGCTGACTCATGTTCAGCCTGCAGTCAACCAGCACTCCAAGATCCCTTTCACAAGTGCTGCTCTTCAGCCACTTGTCACCTAACCTGAACTTGACACCTATTCCTATGCCCCAAGTGCAAGACCTTGTGCTTATCCACTTTGAACGGCATCCTGTTGTCTCCTGCCCACTTCCATAGTCTGTCCAGATCCTTTTGGATCTGGAGTACCTGCTCCTTAGTTGTGGCCACTGCCCCAGTTTTAGTATCATCTGCAAATTTGATCAGCAGCCTGGTCACCCCCTTTTTCCATATCATTGATTACCAGTGTGTGAGTTACTGTTGCTATTGTTTTTCCCGTTACCTTGCTGTGCAGCAGGAAAGCCAGTACCATTCATAGGAAAGTGAATGAGACTGTATTCAGACTGCATTCAGGAATGATAATCCCCAAATCATTGTCCAGAATAGGATCCAATTGTTCAAATGGTTTGCATATATTAAACAAACAAATGTGAATTATCATTTGCAGTGGAGTCTTTATTTCTGTTTAAAGAGAATGCCTTCCATGCAGATGGAATGCAAGACACAAAGCCTGTTTGTGTGCTTCATAGTAAGGTTACCTGAGGGTTTAACTCTCAAAGAATCAACAGTGGCTTCCATCAGACAGCACATCTTAGGATTTATATATTCGTAATGGGAAATGCAAACACCTAGGATGGGCTGTTGCTCATTGTGCATTAAACAACCCATAATGAGCCTGGTGTGTTGTACAAACCAGAATGCTCAATTAGTTGGTGCAGGAAGCACTGTAGCCGCACACAAGGCCTCCATCTGCACAGCAGTTCCTCTGTTCTCTGTTGCTTTTTTTTGCTGATGGAGAATATTATCTGGCTTATAAAATAAGGACAGCTCCTACCCACAGGCATTTCTAGACAAACACCAGAGCTCCTGAATTGTGTCATACACCTGTTTTAAAATTGAGAAGTAAAACCAAATCCCTGCCATTTGATGAAGGGTAAGCTGTATGTCACCTGTGTAAAACAGTCTGGAAAAACAGGTCCAGGCAGGAGGAATATTGAACAGAGATGTGGGAGGGTCTGTTCAGTGGTACAGCACATGCTTCATATGCAAAAGTTCCAGGATCAACTCCTGGCATCCCTTCCTGAAACCCTGAAAAGACTTTACCAGGTGGTGCTGATTCAGAATGAGTTCACTTCCTAGGTTCTTATTCAGCGGGAGGGGTAAGTGGTTAATCTTAGCCCTGGCTGTGCTTCTCTGGTCTAAGTTTATTACACCCTGCTGGAGAAGACAATTCAAATGCAGAATGTAATGATATTTCACTTCTTTGCTCAAGATTTCAACTCTATGTCGCTCCTTTTCTTTGAACTTTGCTCTGTGCAAACAACTGAAAATTGAGGCATTTGAGACATGGCCCTGGAAGAGAGTTTTGCAAATACCTGGTCCAACAGTAAGATGAACATGGTAGACATGTTGTGAGCAGAGCTGGCTGGAGCCAGGGGTCAGACTAGATGTCCCATGAGGCCCCTTCTGACTCACTCTGTTTCTATGAACAAGTGGGTCCTAGATCACATCAAGCCAGAACTTGTCCTGGAAGCAAAAAATTATGAAAAGGCATCTGCCATACTTCACCTACATCATGAGGCAAGACTTGCTAAAGAAGGCCATCATGCTAGGGAAACCTGAAGGCAGAAAAAAGGAAGACGAAATATGAGCTGGATTCATTCTATAAAGGGTGAATCCGGTTTTATATGTATTATTTATATGTTTGTTTATTTATTATGTTGGAAGCCATCCCGAGGCTTATGTGAATGGGACGGCATACAAAAACTCCAAATAAATAAAGCCACACTTTGACTTTGCATGAGCTGAGCAGGGCTGTCAAAGGCAGGACACTCTGGAGGTTATTCATTTATAGGGCCACCGTAAGTCAAAGATGGCTTAACATCATGAAACAGCAGCAAACAACTAGTGACCAGGAAACCAGGAAGGCTTCCTTTACACCATCTCTTGATCTCTCTCTCACACACACGCCCCTCACCGTTGACCCCTCATACCATCTGAGGAGGTGTCCTTGGTTGTTCTGCAGCCCAAGGAATGTCAGCAGGCAGCAGTAGGCACCAAGGCCCTTCTCAGTGACGACTGCTGCTTTTAGGATGCTCCCCGAGTGGTTCGAAAGGCACACTTGGTGGCAATTTTTAAAGCCCCTTTAAAAAAAAAAAAAAGAACTATGATGGCCTGTTCCACCCTGTTCTATCATTATGAGGTTGCAAAGTTTTAAATTATTGTCTTGTTCTTATGTTGTTTTCAGTGTGAAGTGCTTGAGAATTTTATGAAATGGTATAAAACTGTTCTAAATAAATAAGGAAAATGAAAGCATGTGTTCCTTTGTCACACCAGTTGTCCAAACCACGTGCTGTACATCTTCCTGTCAACTGACTCCAACCAGATTACTTCTGTGGAAACATCCTAACCCTTTCCTGTCTGCACATACAGACATGCACACTGTATACTTAAAACAGATGATCAACTATGGATTCTCTTCAGGGAAAATTTGGAGTTCAGGTCCTACTGGTGTCCAAGAATCTCTTTGCATAGGGAAGTGAGGTTAAAATGTTCCTTTTATGCTGACATGGAAGGAACAAATGTGTACATGTGTGAGAGCATGTATGCGTAATTGTACATATCAATGCACATCCATGTGCTCTATACATCACAACTATCCCCTTGGGTGCAAAAAACCTGCTCGATCTTGAACTAAACATATACCAAATTATATGGGAGAAAGATGAAAAACACAGAGAACTGTTAAGAGATTCAAGAGAGAACATTTTAAAAAGTATTTTAGCAGGTATGCCTGCTATATGACAAAAGTCTTCCTACAAAGAAGGGATAGGCATGTAAAAGGACGTAACAGAAGAGAACCAGGGGTGGTGGTGGCATAGACTGGGGGTGTGCATTGGGTTTAGATGAAGTCTCAAGCCTGAGCAGAAGTGGGCCAGTTTGATCTGGTTCTGCAGGTCCCTGAGGCAAAGCAAGTTTTCATCCAAAGCCAATAGAACCAAAAGCAATGTCAGCACATTTCTGAAAAATGTACCAGACTTTATGCCTCCAAACATCTTTTGCTTTTATTGCTCTAAATGCTGCAGGAGGGAGGGAGTGGGATTTACTAATCGAAAGGTCCACTTTCTATTCAACCGGCACATTTTACTGGAGGCACCAATCACTGTGCTTTGGAGGATGCAAGGATGGAACCAAGGGTGGCCATGCTTCCAATGCTGCCAAACTTCAGGGTGAAAATAACCTCCGGGGGGGGGGGGGGTTCAGTGATTGCAACTCTGTAGCCACTGGACCTATGCTCCCAAAACTTTGCAGCTTTCTTTCCTGGGAACACCCGTGCTACTTGTACATAGGGGCTGTGTGTGGGAGGAAGTGGAAGTGAATCAAAGTGCAGTTAATATGAGTCAGTGTGGTGTCCTGGTTAACAGTGAGAGACTGAGTCTCAGACAATCTGGATACTTTTCCCTGCTTGGCTGTGGAGCCCTCTGGGTAATGTTGGGCCAGTTGTTGTAGTGGGGATAAGAATGGTGCAAGCCGCTTTGAGTCTTTAAAAAATGAAGAAGCGTGGTATATAACTCTAATAAATAGTTATGAAATTAGGCATGACTGCTTTTCTCAGAAGAAGCGAGTCTCCCTGCAATTCTCATCCAATTTGGTCCCAAAATGATTAAGTTATACTGTTTCTTTTTAAAAATCCAAAAAGAACGGCACGTAACACAAAAACCCTGCACCCATTTGTTCCATTTTGCTCGTTTAATACTATTCAGAGGAACCACTTGTCGTGTAAATATCCAATTCTGCGCAAGACAAAACGTTCAGTCAATTTAGGACTTCCCGTAATAGCCGTTTTTTCCAGGTGGTTCTATGCGCATTTCTCGTGCAGGCCATCCATCAGAGAACGGAGGATTTTGCTATTCATACTACGTACAACTGCAGTGCAACTGAAAGGAGCAAATGACCCAGGAATAACAAATACTTGAAGGATGCACCCATTCGCGGACTCATTCCTGCTGGCCCTGTTGCAGGTTTCCATTAACAGGAGACGGATCCTGACCACGAAATACTGCTTGCCTTCCCCTCCCTTGGATGCTAGGTGTAGCACAAACCATGCTAACTTCCTCAGAGAGATCCAGTACGTATTAGTAGCTAAGAGATACTTTCGTGGTTTGGAGCCAACAGGCCTTTGCCCCGGATCAGCCTCCCTTTCCTCCGGGGACGGCAAGCGCGCATCGAACGCAAAGGATCGGCATATGCCTTCTTGCGAAAACAGCAGAGAGCTAGATCTTGCTTCCCAGTGAACTTGCAGGATTTCCCTGCACCGCTGCTAGGAACTAGTCTTGCCCACTACACTAGCGGAGACAGCAACCCAGGAGCTGTTACTTCGGAGCGAGAGCAACGAGGGACTGGCGAACGGCGCGTCCGCCCGCCTGTTGTACTCACAGAGCGGCTGCTGCGTCTCCGTGCGCGCAGGAGAGCGAGCGAGCCCTTCTCCGGGTGTGCGCGGGAGGGGGGAGAGAAAGAGGGAGGGAAGAAGGAAGGAGCGAGGGGGAGGGAGCGAGGGAGAGCAGGAGCAGCCTCGAATGCTTGGAATAATTCCGCTTCCGTTGGGAATAGGGACCAGCAGCTTGTGACTAACTCGAGCGGGGCTTCTCTCGGCAGGCGCTTCTCTCTCCGAGGCTCAGGCGCGATTTGGCGGGACCCCCACCATGGCAACCTCTCCTCAGAAGTCGCCTTCATCCCCCAAGTCTCCGACTCCCAAGTCGCCCCCTTCCCGGAAGAAAGACGACTCCTTCTTGGGCAAGCTCGGGGGCACGCTGGCCAGGAGGAAAAAAGCGAAAGAAGGTAAAGGAGCGGGAGCGAGCGCCCTTCGCCAGGGCTTCGCTGTGCACTCTGCGCGGCGCCTTTAATGAGCAGGGGAGGGGCGTGCAGGAGGAGGAGGAGGAGGGAGGCAGGCAGGCAGGCAGGCAGGGCGGGAGGGGGAGGTCAAAGGTGCCCGCGCTGCCCTCCGGCTGGGAGCAAGCGGCGCCTGTGGCGGGCGAGGCGGAGGCGCCGCGTGAGGCCGCCGCCGGGCTGGGTGTGCCGCCGCGGGGAGCGCGCGCGTCATCCTCGAAAAATGCTGTCGCCTGAAGGAGCCGCTGCTGGGAAGGGCCCCTGGGCTGTTTTGACGGAGGCGGCTGAGCACCAGGAAGCGCCCTCGTTCCCCTCCCCCGGAGCGCAGGCTGCTCTCTCCTCCCCGCGCCGCCTCCTCTCGGCCCGTCGCCGGAGGTGTGGGGTTGGGGCGGGCTGCGAGGGTCCGCTTTACGCACGTCTCTTGAGCTTGTGAGGCCTTCGTGTAAGCCGGAGCTGTGCGCTGCCTGCTGGGAAGGAGTTTCTTCCCGGAATGGGCATGCAATGCTCCGAGGAGCTTTTCGTGTTCCCTAAAATGAGGAACTCGGGGAGGAAGCACGCCCCTGGCGATGCACGCAATTATTCTTCACCAAGCGCGGGGAGGCTTCTGGATGTACGCGTAATATGGGGCAGGAATGCCGGGCCACACGTGTGCTCCCTCGCCGCGCGTAAAGTTGTAGGGTAACAAGTGTGCTTCCTATCAATTTTTTAAAGAAGCTTTTTGAACATTGGGTTGTACCAGAAAACCTGCGCGCATCTTGCCTCATGCAGCGTTCGGGCTATGTATTAAGGCTGCCTCCAGATGAAGAGGTGTGGACAACTTCCTTAGCCCGCGGCCCGACAAAGGCGGCCCACAACTTGCAACAGTAGTGCGCGGGTGGGCAACCTGGAGCTCGCCTTGTGTTGTTGGCAGCATAGCCAGTGGGCGGAGGTGGTAGGAGCTGGAGCCCCGACAGGTAGCCTTCCCTTGCAGGTGGATGTGCTTGTGAAGGAATGCTGGGCAAACAGGCATGTTACAAAGAGTTAAGTTTCAAGGATCCCACTGGCTCTGTGGCCAAGCCTGTAGCTAGGAGGGGGTTGACCCCTACAGTTTGTCTGTTTGTTTATAGTTGTATCTTTAAAAGGCCTGCAGACCAAATGGACTACTCAACGGCAGCTTGGTCACACCGCCCCACCCAGAAATAAGTTTTAAGCTGGCTTTGTGTTACTTCTCTTTCTCTGGCGCCTGAGACACATCTTCCCAAGCTCATTTCTGAGCAGGGTGAGGCCCTGCTGCCTCCACCTCTGCATTCCCTCCTACTAGTTTTGGGCAGAGCAGCACAAATTCCCTCGTGCCCTTTGCTGGAAACGGGGCTTGCTTTCGGATCTTAGTTGCAATTATGTGTTTACATGCTTCTATACTCTAAGGAGCACAGAATGACTTAAAGTACTAACAAAACAAGTACAGGTATATCAGCAGTGAAAACCTATTAACACAATAAGGCAATTTAATGAACAAGTCAGGAACAAATGTTTTTGTAAATAAAATTGACTTCAAATTATGATTAAGAGTATTTGTAGTGGAGGTTATCCTGTGAAGAAGTTCCAAAGGAGGTGTGGGGAGATGCACTATGTTTCTTCATCTCAGTTATGCGTATGGGGAGGGCAGTGACAAAACATCTGTAGAATGGAGACTGCGTAGCTTAGCATGTGCTAAACACGGGACCATAAACAGGGCTTAATAGCTAGTGTAGTACTTGATCCCTCTTGATCAAGTAACTTGGTCCCTCTTCACTGAAGCCCTCTGTACTACCTGCAGTTTCTGGATTGTCTTCAAGGGGAGTTCTACATAGACTGTGTTGCAGTAATTTGTCTCAGATGCTATCGGAGATATTACTGTGGATGTTACTAAAATTAAATTATCTTGATCCAAGAAATAACAGGGCTGGAAAAACCACTCAAGCTAGGCAAGACATCCCTTCCTTGACATAGAAGGTGCTTGAGGAATAAACGCATCCTTCAGCAAGGATGTCACTCCAACCAGAACAAACTGTCTACCCAGCTGGACCTGAGAACCACTGACCCCTAGTGCTTTCATCTTTTTGGGAAGGGCTGCTTATGACCCTAAGACTCCCAACTCCTGCCTTGCCAACTGTTCTTCAAGAATGGTTCTGTGGCACCAGATTAAGAGACCATGAATGAGTGACTGCCAGAATGTCCCGTCTGTGACCGCCTTACTCAACTCCTGTAAATTCAACACTGTGGCTCCTTTTGTGGAATGGATTCATTTCATGTTTGGTTTTGCTCTTCTGCCTTTGCGTTCCCTAGCTTTAATGCTTCCTCCTCGAGTCTGGACTTCTCGTGAAGTATGACAGCCTCAGTATCGTCAGTTTTGCTTACAAGGAAAGTTAAGAATGTAAGAAAAGTCATGCTGGGTCAGACCAGTGTTTCATCTGGGCCAGCATTCTGTTCATGCAGTGGCAAACCACCTGCCAACAGGATCCCCCAAGCAGGATAGGTACAAGAGTTCAGCCTGCCCAAGCCCCTTAGCAAATGGTGTATGTATTAAAACTGCTTATGATAATGCAGGGAGCACGTCGCCAACAAAGCTAGAAGCCGCTGATAGCCTTCTCCTACATGAATTGGTCCAACCCCCTTTAAAGCCATACACATTCGTGGCTATCACTACATCCTGTGGCAGTTCATTCTATAGTTTGACCATGCACTATGTGAAGAAGCACTTTCTTTTATGTGCCCTTAATGTCTTCCAGCCAGCTTCATGGGTTGACCCTGGGTTCTAGTATTATGGGAGTGGGAGAAAGAACTTACCTCTATCATGTCTCCCTTTATTCACCCTTTTTCTCAGCTAAATAATCCTAGTTGTTGTAACTGTTTCTCTTAGGGGACTTACTCCAAGCCCTTGATAATTTCAGTAGCTTTTCTCTTTTTTATTTTTCAGCTCAGTTATGTCCCTTTTCATGGGTTGGTGACCAGAACTGTACACAAAATCCTAAGTGCAGTTGTGCTACAGAATTGTATGATAGAAGTATGATCTTGATAGTTTTATTTTCAGTTTCTTTCCTAACTATTCTTAATGTGCCTTTTCCATAGCAGCTGCATACTGGGTCAAGGTTTTCATTGATCTGAGCATCACAACTCCAAGATCCTGAATCAGTCACTGCTAGCTTAGTCTATCTTTGAACTTGGAATATTTTGCCCTAAGTCCACATGCACGTATATTGAATTGCATTGGTCATTGATGCCCATTCTCTTAGGATGGAGACATACCTTAGAAGATCCTTACAATCCCTTGGGTTTTAGCCACCAGAGTTTGGTATCATGACCAAGCTTGGCCACTTCACTAGTTACAGCTGACATTTATGAATAAGCTGAAAAACATTTGTCCTGATAACATCTCACAAGTTATCTGCCTGCATTGGGAGATAGTACCATTTATTCTCACTCAGTCCTTTTTGTTATTTAACCAGTTACTGATCCTTGAGACCTGACCCCCCCCCCCCCATTCCATGAGTGCTAAGTTTGCACAGGAGCTTTGGTTGAGAGACTTTGTCCAGAGACTTTGGGAAGTCCAAGTAAACAAGGTCTACCAGATCACCCTGTCTCCACATGTTTATCAACACTCTCAAAGGACTTCACCTTGTAGAAGCCATGTTTTTCATAGCTGTCAGGGACAGTGTTTTTCAGCAGGCTTGTCCCTCTGTGTGCTTACTGATTCTCTGTTTAATAACATACTCAACCAATTTATCCAGAAAAGACATTAAGCTCTGACTTGATTTGATCTAGGATACCCTTGCTCAATTTTCTGTCAGTCCAGGATATTCTCAAAGCTCTCCTTAAGCACCATGTTTTGAACGCATTAGTTTTCTCCCGTTTGGCTTTGTTTACTGGCTAGCTTTCCACCCATACGCAGTAATTGGAAATACAATAGTGTGCATGATTTTTGGCCTTGGACTCCAGTGAAAGTCAGTGTGGTATAATATTTAAGAGCACGGGACTGGGACTCAGGTGATCTGGGTACTACACCCCATTCAGCCACAGAGCCAATTGAGTGACTTTAGGCCAGGGACAATGTGTTAGCCCAACCTACATCACAGGGTTGTTGTTGTGGGGTTAAGATTGAGAGTGCGAGACTTATGTGAGGTGCTTTGAGTTCTTTACAACAGAAAAAGTGGGATATAAATCTAATAAGTAAATAAAAATCATATCTTTGCACTTGATGATTTTTCCCCTAGTTCTTACATTTCTGTCCTTCCCTCTCTCAGTTTCTGGGCTGTAGTCTCTGTTTGGATTGATGACTGAGTCAAGGTGTGTAAAATCACAACTTCATTTTCTTCACTGTTGATCCTAAAGGGGTCTAATTGTTCTGTAGTCATGATTTTTGTTTCTTGAATGTTCAGCTGCAGTCTTGCTTTTGCACTTTTTTTTTCATCAGGAGTCATTTCAGGTCATTGCCGCCTTCTGCCAGTAATAGGATATCTTCTGAATATCTTAAATTACTGATGTATCTGCCTTCAATTGTCACTTCTTCTTCCTCTAATCCTAAACCAGGTTTAATATGTTCTGCATACAGATTGAACAGATAAGGAGATAAAATACACCCTTGTCTGCTCCCATTGCCTGTAGGAAACCATTCTGTTTCTCCATCTTCTGTCCTAACAGTAGCTTCTTGTCCACAGTACAGATAATGTATCAGGAAAATCAAGTGCTGTGGCACACCCATTTTTTTCAGGACTATCCATAGCTTTTTATGATCCACATAGTCAAAGGTTTTGCTGTACCCTATTAAGCATAGACTAAACTAAAATTCTTTGGTGCACTTGTGAAATTCCTTGAGTTAGGATCTCAAGTGCCTTTTCCTTTTGGGAATCTGGCTTGAATATCAGACATTTCTAGTTCCATATAGGTTGAAATTCTTCATTACAACACCTTGAGAATCACTTCGCTGGCATGGGTCC